AAGCAAAGCTGTTATAAATGTTTTTCTAAGACAACTGATGGATTTTTCTTTTACCTTTATTAATTCTTCTACTTCCTTAAGTTCCTGAAGAAAAAAAACAAACACACACTGTAAAAAATGCAATATATATGTATGTATCTATGTAACTACAGACAGACACATGCACTGACATACACATACAAACACACACTTTCCTTGAAAGCACATCCTGAATAAAATGTTGACTAACCTGGGGGTAGGCTGTGTAAAGTGGCAAGTCCAGGACAATATGATCTTTCAGTTGTCTGGCCTTTAATTCCCCACTCAGTGTCACAAACGTGAGAACTGAGTTTGTATTTTCTAGAGAGAGAACATTGCAACATTATCAAACAGTATAATTTTAATCTAAATTGTCATAGCCCTAAGAGTAGCTCAGTACATTCAGGAAAAGTTAGTTATGCAGCTCAAATATATCTAGAGCAACACTGTACTCTGGGCAAAGTTCCCAACTAACTCAATAAATCTGCTGAGGCTAATAAACACAGCAATTGTCAGGGATCACTCCTGCATTTGCCTAGAATGAATGGGAATGCCCTTTTAACAGAAAGAGCAATATTCCCTATTCATCAAATCCTCTCTGCCTCTCCCAGATGACATTTGCATATTTAGCACTTTTCCTACACCAGAGTAACAGCAGGGCATGGCAGTCAGAGGGCAGGCATCACACCACAGCCTTGGAAATACACAGCAGCAGTGAAAGATACCCAGGGTACCTCCAGTTGTGTCCTACAGATGTTCTGAATGTTTAATGCCTTTGTCTCAAAAACCAGAGATGCTAATTAGGAGTAAATGCTCTAAAAAACTATAGAAATAGATAGGTTGTAAACCTACTTTGCACATGAAACAACACAGCAGCTGATGCAAGAGTAGCATGACCACAGAGAGGAACTTCACTGGCTGGGGTGAACCATCTGAGCCCAAAGCAGGAACCTTGGAAAAATAAAGTTTATTGAGTGGAAGAAGTCTAGATCTTAATTTTACCCCAATATAGAGTGATGATGTTTCAGTTAATCAAAATGCATGCTACAATCAGTTTTGGTCCTAAACACACTTTTTTGGTCCTAAACACACCTCTAGGTACCCATTTCACACTGAGTTTTCAGAACAGCTATCCCTTTTGAACCAGGCCAACAACCTCTGCATGCTGCACGGATTTTCCCTTGTCCTGGACAGGCATTATTTAGAAGACAAAGCCTCCAGGTCTGTATTATGAAATCCTACAGAGGCAGAGTCATGATCTGGAGGCCAGGTTACAGTTTAGAGGCCATAGGTGGTTTTGTTGGTATAACAGAGCCTGTACTGGAGTTAGCTCAATTATGAATTATTTTGCTTAAACCACCAGTTAAGTCTGGTAACGCCTCTACCCTTCATTTCACTATAGAAATGATACTTCTATTTGCTGTTTAAAAAACTTGTAACACACATGTAAGATACTTTGTTTCCTGTAACCTTTGCACGTGCATTTCAAGTGAACAACTACCACACAAACACAACAAGAAGTGAAAAAGAAAATTAAGAACTGTGCACCCTGGGCAGCTGTGTGGGGCTGAGGCCACAAAGAGCCCATTGGTACCAAAGCACTGTCATGACAAAGAAGCTGCCATTTTGTGTGATGGTAGAGATGGGGGATTGAAAATAAGCATGATAAACATACTGGCAAAGAGCTAACGTGAAAAATGAAAAGTACTGTAACTTCCTGCTCCAAGCAATTAGTCTAACCCTAAAATAAATTCCAGTTTATTAACAGGAGCAAGCAATTGTAGTCACTACTATCCTTAGTATTTTTAATGACAGAGACTGTACAAAATCCTGCTCCCTGAACAATCCACCAAAGAACAAAGATGACAAATGTGACTCCTTAGCCTGGAATCTGAGCCCAGAGCAGGGGATGAGCCCCTTGGCTTGGCCACAACTGCCAAGAGAGCAGATCAGCAAACTGATTCAGCTGAAAATGAATCCCCAGAGTGGCTCTGAATGAACTCTGCATTGGTCTGATGCTTTCTTGTAAGCAGAGCCACTAACTTTTGGTGAAGTCATCTCCAGGTTTCAGTTTTCTGATGAAAGCTGTTTCTGAAAGGTTCATTTCTGCTGCAATCTTTTGGTGCAAATCTTCATCCAGGTCCTAGGGAAGACATAACAAATCCAGTCAAGAAAGGGCCAAAAAATGCAGAATCAAACTTTCTGTTAAATACAGACAATTTTCTATTACAAAAAAACATGGATTCAGTTTTAACTCACAATAATCTCTGAGAGTAAAAAAAGCTTTAAGTGGGACAATATAGGAGCTGAGAAGAGACCAATTGGAGAAAAAAAAAAGAAATGAAACAGCTGGAGCTCCCAGAGTGCCTGTGATTTAAGCCAGTGGACATTGATCCCAAGACACCCAAGGCCAGGGATTGTATAACATTCTCCTTTGCCCACCTTCCACTGCTCTTTCCTCATGCTTGTGCTGACTGGCCAGGTTTGAGAATCTAATCTTTCAAATCCTGAAACTCAAGGGAAACAAAGTACTGAAGCGACCTGGTCAGGTTCAGCCTCTGACATAAAAATGTGCCCTTTAAACCTGAATTACTTCCTTCAACAACTAACCCTTTTCAGGCAAAATCCCATACCACAGCTACAAAATAACCAGTAACTGATCGGCGCACTAGGGCTGCACCTGCAGACTGAATTCTGTACATTTAAACAACATTCTCACATTCTACAGCACAGTTACATTCCCTCTATCCCAGGAAGAGTTCTGCCACTTACTGCAAAGATCAAAGACCAGTAAAAATGTTATTAAAACAACCTTTCTTTTTAATGGCATGGAACCTTATTGAAACACTGCCATCCTGTGGCACCTCTGAGACACAGAGGGGACTGGTTTTGCCATTTTTACATTAATTTCTCCTGGGTTTTTTTTTCTGTAAAGCATCTGCTAAGACTCTGGAGGGAGCAGAGAACAGTTGTTTTGCATGGCTGCATCACAATTCCTTCAATCTTAGAATAAAATGCTGAATTAGGATCTCGGCTTTAGCTTCACACTAAACCCTTTACTTCCAGGAACTGGAGAAAAATTTAAACATCTGCATCCCAAAGTCATGCAAGTAAGGTAGCTTCATAATACCCTGATGTAATAAAGTAAAATTAATACTAAAAAATGAAATTAGAAGCTCATAATTTTAATACAGAGATAATTTTGAGAGTATTTAGATTTTATGGGGCCAAAAGTATGTCTGAAGAGAGATGTTTCATACCTTTGGCTGACCTGGTAAGTAGGCACTGTTATATGAGATTTAGATAGACTTAGGAATTCTAGAAAGGATTCATGTTGGCATTTTGAGCTGTTGCCACTGGCTACTCTACATGTATGTTCATATTTCATCAGGAGTTACTACGCAAGCAATACAAGGCCTGTAAATTTCTGATCCCTCTCAATAATTATTTTTGTTAGAAATTGGTACCAATTAGCACCAACTGTTCACAACACCCTGATGAGCAGGATAACTACTGTCAACTGCACCAAAACCACCATCCAACTCCGAAGTAATAAAAACTGGTTGCTTGTTTAAACTTGGCTAAAGCTGAACCCAACACACCAATGGTGAAAGAGTCACATCGAGGTCTGCACCTGCTCTTTTTCTATCCAGAGAAAGACGAAAAATTCAAGAAAAAAAAGGAGAAAACCCACACCAAGATCAAACCCCACAGTTTAATCCTTCTGCTGAGCACTGATTCTGTTTTACAGCGTTACTTTTCGGAGTTCACTGTGAATCCTTCTTAATTCTTCAGAACTTTTATTCTGAATTGTTCTTGAAGAAATTAAACCATTTCTCTTAACTCAAATCCAGTTTGCTCCTTAACATTTTAACTGCCCACAAAAACTTCAAACATTGTCTTCTATGACATCGTTTTGATGAATTAAAAAAAAAAAAGCGCTCCTTTGCTAATTTCTCTGTATTCTTGTGCCACGGTAAACAAATCTGAAAAACCTAAGTCTCGAGTAAAGAAAGCAAAGTCTAACGCAGTGCTGAGTGCTCAGGCCAAGTACAGAACGGCAAATGTCATTGCAGTACCTCAAAAAACAGTTGGGGTTTTTTAAACTTACATTTTCGAGCAGACAAACTGCCGCAGGATTTCCAGAAAACGGCCGGTTTGTAAATGCATCAACCGTAAAAATGGGAATCTGCATTGTGGTGTGCACTGTTTAGCCGCAGGCTGCGCTCTGCCAGGTGCGCTCTAACCTGTTACACCCCGGCCAGCACAGCTCCGAGTTAAAGCTCTGCTGAGGCAGGCGGGGCCAGCGGGCCCATCCCGTCACTTCCTAGCGCCGATAGAGATTGGAACTCCTTCCTACGGCCCTGGCGTTATTAAATTAAATAACACATTTAACCTGCCTCGCCGCCAGCCCCTGAACGCCTCAGCGCGCCTTTTCCCCACAGCGCCCGGCCCGGTGTGTCCCGCACTGAGGGAGGCGGGATCCCGCCCGGCTCGGCAGCTCTGCTGAGGAGACGTGGGGAGCAGCCATGGCGTGCGCCCACAGCGGGCAGCCTTCCTCATCCTCAGTGCCTCCCAAAGCTGCGCTGAGGGAGCGGGACACGCTGAGGCAGAGGGCCAGAGCACGACCGCAGCCGCCGCCATCAGCGCGGGCGTGAGGGGATGGCGGCGCCGTGAGGGGATGCCCGGGCACGCGCGCGCTCCGCCCCCGCTCCTGGCCGCGCGCGCTCCCGCTTGGCGCCAAAACGAGCGGCGGCGGCCGCGTGACCGAGGGAGGAGCGCGCACACGCCCGGGCGGCCCCTCACAGAGGAGGCGGTGACAGGCAAAGGCGGAACGCCCCCTCCCCTACCCCGCATGCGCAGTCGCTCCCCTCCGCCATCCCCCTGCTCTCCCCCCGCGAGCGGCGCGTGCGCGAGAGCCGCCCGGGCGGGTGTGAGGCGGCGCGCGGCGCGGGTATCGCGATAGTCGCGCGGCCCGGACGCTCCCGTGCTGTCCGTGGGCGCTGCGCAGCTGTGGGCCCGCCGCACGGTCGGCGCAGAGCGAGAGGCGCGTCCTGCCCGGCGCGAGCGGCTGCCGGGGCACGGCCAGGGGTGCGCGAGAGGCTCGCGGTGAGCGGAGAGGGCGAGCGGGCCGGGCGAGCGGCGGCGGGGCCCGCCCGGGGGGCTCGGCGGGCGGAGGTGCCGCCGGCGGGGGCTCGGGGCCCGGCCGGGGCCGGGTCGGGCCCGGCGCGCGCCTGTGGGCGGGGGAGGGGGAGGGGGAGGCGGTGCGGAGCCTCGTTCCCGATCGCGGCCGCCATTTTGAGCGGTGGAGCCGAGGGCGGCGGCGGCAGCGGCCCCGGGAGAGCGGCGCGCGGGGGTTCCTGAGGCGGTGAGGGGCACGGGCGGGGCGGGCGACACAGCGCGGCACCTCCGAGGCTAGAGGTGGGCAGCGGGGCGCGGCGGGGGGTGCGGCGGGAGCGGGGCAGGCGAGTGGCGGGCGCCCCGGGGAGGCGCGGTAAATGGCGGCGGGGAGCGGGCGGGGGTCAGGGCCGCGGTCCCGGGAGGGCGGCGGGAGGCGGGAGCGCGGCGGCTCCGCGCCTGCCGGGCCGGCCATGGCGGCTCCCTTTGTGGGACGGCGGCGGTGCCCTCCCGCACCCGGCCCAGCCACGCACACGGCCCCGGCTGAGGGCAGACAAAGAAAGGCCTTGCGCCTCCAGCCCCTTGCTCATCTGCTGCGCTGCAGGGGAAAAACAACCGTAAAAACAAAGCGCACGGGCCTTTAGGGAGCGGATGCGCAGCGTGCTCGGAGTGATTCGCGAGCTTTATGTGCCGTGCTGCCCACGTGCCGCCCGCCGGCCACGCGGTGATCCAGCACAGCAGCCCCGCGGTGCGGCCTGAGATCCCGCTGGCCTGCGCTTGGATACCCGGCTTCAAATCCCCAACAGAAATAAAGCTCGCGATCCATCGTGTTTTCAAAATAAAGGCTTACCAGATTTCTTTTTTAGGGCGGGACTTGAACGCGGACGGAAACTCAGGGGGTTTTTTATTTCTGTTTTGTTGGGATTTTTTTTTTTTCTAGAATTTAAATTAAATAAAAGATGGACTGGAGTGGAAAACACAATGGGCCCAATGATACAACCAATGACGGAACAGTGGTACGACTCCGAGGCCTCCCATTTGGGTGCAGTAAAGAAGAGATTGTTCAGTTTTTCCAAGGTACCTCCAGTATAGTCGAAGTGTAGTGGGTTTCATTAGAGTTTTTTGTATGTTTTACACAGTGTTTTGTACATGTTTAATGGCTGTTAATGGGGTGGATGGGGAGGGATTGTGTTAAATCAATTTATCTAAATTAAGATTTATGCCCTGTAAATAAAGCGCAGATAACCGTAGATATAGTAGAACACAAAATGTACCTGATTTTGTCGAGGTGGGAAGCATACCTTGCACAGGGGGGTAACCTGAATGTTAGCATTTGGATCAGTTAAATTGCTTGATTGGTAGCTATGTTTTCTTCGTGTAACTTAGGTGGTTGCATTTTTGTATAGCCTAAACAGAAAAGTACGGCTAAATCCGTTAATGTTTAATGCAAAGATCGTGGGCTTGTATTGTTGGGTGATGGGGGAAACAAGGTGGTTTTCTTTTTCGTTGTTGTTGTTTAGATATGCTTTAAGTATTTGCTACAGATGGGAATGTTTCAGCCTTTAACACTGTTCCCCTTGACGGGGTTATTTGTCCTTGGGTTAAAGGGTTGGAAATCGTGCCAAATGGGATAACATTGACGCTGGACTACCAGGGGAGAAGCACAGGGGAGGCCTTCGTGCAGTTTGCTTCAAAGGAGATAGCAGAAAATGCTCTGGGGAAACACAAGGAAAGAATAGGGCACAGGTGGGGATGGAGAGTTTGGGATGGTGTTAAATCTTTCTTTTTTGGGGGTTGTGGGTCAGTAATGCTTTTGGGGGGTTGGGGACCATTGGGGAATTGGCTGTTTTTAAGAATTTTTGTAACTGATCCTAAGTTAACTTGGGAAATACGGTAGATTTGGGGGGTGGGGGAGACAGTATTGCACCGGGTAGTTTGCTAAACTCAGACAACTGTTTCAATCATGCTCGTGTAGGGTAATTTGTGATAAATGCTGCTACAGCCATTGTTTTTCAACAGTATGTTTCTCATACTGGAAAGACATGTTTTAAGCTTAATTTGTACAGCTAGAACTTTCACATAGTAATTTTTGCCACTCTAAAGTGGGCTTTTTAAAATACACTTAAGATTCTTACAGTTTTGAGGAGAAACTTAAGTTGTATGGTATTTCTAGTCACTGCTATTGGCTTGTACGTTTGGCTCTAGAAAATGTAGCGTGGCCTTTTGTAAAATTCAGACTGCTTCTGCCTGTGTTCTTACTGGTGCCTTGAAAATCCTCTCTCACTAGATACATTGAAATCTTCAAAAGTAGTAAGAGCGAAATCAGAGGATTCTCTGACATGCCAAGAAGAATGATGGGACAACAGCGACCTGGACCATATGATAGACCATTGGGAGGAAGAGGGGGTTATTATGGAGCTGGGCGTGGAAGTATGTATGACAGAATGCGTCGAGGAGGTGGTGGATATGACGGTGGTATGTTCATCTAATGAACACAGGTTCTCTTGGCAGTTCATGTTTCTGACATACTTGTCAAGAAATAACAAATGGCAGTAGCTGTAATGCCCGTTTGGCTGGATGTATTTATCTGAAAAGAAATTGTAATGTATCAAAACACGTGGTCAAGTATTTAAGATGAATGTTAATAATAAGGGAGCTATTTTCATTAGAATCAGATCTTTCCATTTGCATGTTTCAGTCTGTGTTACATTAGAGCAATGTACTTCTGCACCATGTTCAGAAATGCAGTTTGACAGTGTGCAGAGGCTGTTTGCACAGTGCTGGCTGCCCAGAGACCGCAGAGTTGAGCGTTGTGTGTGCGTGGCTGTGTGAGCTGTGAGCAGGGATGTGATGGCTCCTCTCCTTCTCTCCATGCACAGGGTATGGTGGCTTTGATGATTATGGTGGCTATAATAACTATGGCTACGGAAACGACGGCTATGACGACAGGATGAGGGATGGGAGAGGTAAAACAAATTCATAGTTTGTCTCAAAAGGTTCCCTGTTACTTGAGTTCCAAGACAGAGATAATAGTTTCATTCTGCCATTTGGTAAAGGAGGCTGTTTAAAAAGGGGAGGGGCCTGGGCAGTCCTAAGGAAAGGTAAATAGATGGCTTAGCAGGGTGTGTGGCTAAGGTTTGGGCTGATACAGGGGAAGTGTAAACACCATGCATTCACTGGTATATTTACGTGCTTTCAGAAAAAGAGTAGCGATGACTTTTGGCTTTCCGTGATCTTAGAGGTGTGTGGGTTTTTTTGGTTTGGGTTTTCCAATAGGCATGGGAGGCCATGGCTATGGAGCTGGAGATGCAGGGTCGGGGTTCCATGGTGGAGGTCATTTTGTTCACATGAGAGGGCTGCCTTTCCGAGCCACGGAAAACGATATTGCTAACGTAAGTACCACGGGGGAAAGGGCTTCTGCTGCCAGCAGCGTGCGTGTCCCTGCCTGTCCCAGCCCACCTGGGGGAGCCTTCTCAAACCACTCACTGCTGCAGCTGCACAAACTCAACCAGCTTGCATGGAGCTGCTGTCTGAGGTGGGATTACCAGGGAAGTCAGCAAAGCTATATTTAACGCTAATCCCTGCACTCTCTGCTCGTTCGTTTCCATAAAGATGGATTGCAGAGACAACGCTTGCTGTAATCGGTATCCTCATTTTAAGGCCTTTAGGGTTTTTTTAAGCTTACCTGGTTTTGTCAAAATGACAGAAGGTTTGAAACTTAAATTGCTTATTTTGCATATTTGTTTGTTGGCCTTTCTGAGACTGTTTCAGGAGAGGCAGGGTGGGCAGGCTGTGTTGGCTTGGAGAGGACTGTAAGATCCCTCTCGTAAGAGATCAGGGTGGCAGGGAGAGGTGCATCTGCAGCATCTTGGGAATGCATTCTGGAGTCAGTGCAGATGTGTTGTAGTGGGGAAAAGGTTTTCTTGGGATACAAGGCCTGGTTTAAACATAGCACATCTTCAGAGAGAGGCTGTCTTGCTAGTGGGACCTGTGTATTACATATGCAGAGCTCCATTCTTAAACTTTAGCTTGTTTGCCTTTGTGGGTGGGTTGGTTTATTTAAATGGAGGTGGGTTTTCTTGTGCCGGTTTGATTGTTCCATTTAGGGTAAAGCTCTGTGACAGCAAGGGCCAAAGTCAGGCTTAGGTCTGGGACAGTGGGAAAGAGCAGTGCTGTTCAGAGGCAGCTTCTCTTGAATTCCATGAATTTGTCTTTGCTTTGAGATGTCTGGAAGAGCAGAGCCAAATGGAAACCAGGTGATGATTTTCTTGTCCAGGATGCCATCACATTTAACTGTGCTGCTCAGAGCAGAGTGTGTGGGCAGGAGTTGTTTGTGTCTGTGCATTCAAAGGAAGCTCCTCAGGCTCTGCAGCTCTCCAAGCTGTGCAGTAACAATGGGTTGTAAATGTAGGTTGGCCTATGCTGAATGTCCCACAACCACCAAGTACTGCTCGAGAAGTGAGTAGGTAAATCTGTGTGCCAGGATGGCATTGAATTGAAGCAGTGCACCACTAACCATGCAGATGGAAAACAAGTACCTGGCTGGAGTTCTGCATTGACATGATTGGTTTTGAATTTGTTTTCTCCCTAGTTTTTCTCCCCATTGAACCCTATAAGAGTTCACATTGACATTGGAGCAGATGGAAGAGCCACAGGAGAGGCAGATGTGGAGTTTGTGACCCACGAGGACGCGGTGGCCGCCATGTCCAAGGATAAGAATCATATGCGTGAGTGTCGCGTTCCCCGGTGCTGCTGGGCCAGGCTCCGGCAGGGCTGGGGGCAGCACATCCCTCCTGAGCTTTCCCTGTTCCCATGTTCCAGACTCGCCTGTTTGTGGCCTGCTGCCTGTGAGGGGGTGGGGCTTGCTCCGTACCCCTGCTTCTGGTCTGGAAAACAAAACAAACTGAGGCTTTTTGCTTCTACAGAGCATCGGTATATTGAGCTGTTCCTGAATTCCACTGCTGGAGGTGGCTCTGGAATGGGAGGCTATGGCAGAGATGGAATGGGTAGGCATCCATTGCACACTGAGCTGGTGCTGTGCCAAGGCCGATGGGTTCAGGCTGGTAACGTTGCTCCTGTGGCTTTGCAGATCAAGGGTACGGCTCTGTGGGGAGAATGGGGATGGGCAGCAATTACAGCGGTGGCTACGGAACCCCTGACGGCCTGGGTGGATACAGTGAGTACAAGTTCTCTAAATGTGTGTGAGTAACGGGGGGACAGGGCAAAGAGGGGCACTGGTTCCTGAAACTCAATCTCTGGGGCCTTTGCACGTTGTGCTGCAGACACTGCTTAAGAGCAGTAGTGCTGCAGCATTGTTGGTGTGAGCTGTCACCTTCACCAGTTGTTCTGTGTCACCCATCCCGTTTCCTCTCCCTTTGAGGTGTGTGTGTGTGACCTTGTGCCAATTGTTTGCAGGTCGTGGCAGTGGAAATAGTGGAGGATACTATGGGCAAGGCAGTATGGGTGGAGGAGGCTGGCGTGGGATGTATTGAAGGATAGCCTTGCTTCTGCAAAACATCTTGGAAGAAACAGTCTCTGGTCTACTAGACTTTCTTACAAAATTTAATTTCTTTTGTATTTTAAGAACTTTATAATGACTGAAGGAATGTGTTTTCACAATATTATTTGGTAAGCAACAGATTGTGATGGGAAAATCTGTTTTCTGTAGGTTTTATTTGTTGCATACTCTGACTTTAAATAAATTTTTATATTCAAACCACTGATGTTGATACTTTTTATACTAGTTACTCCTAAGGATGTATTACATATTCCAGGCTACAGTCGGTTTAAAATGTTGTACTATGGTTCCATAAAGGTGGTTGTACTGTAACTCCTATGAACACTGATTCAGTTCTATGTAATCTTGGTCTAGTGAACAAAATGAAACTTTCACTTGTTTAGGGGAGAAGGGTAGATGAGTAGGTTAGTTTATTTGGTAATTACTTTCCTAAACCCTTTTGGTAAGTCGTATGTGCTAACTGCAGCACAGCAGAAAGCTGTGCAGGCTCAGTCACTGCTCTGGCTTCCTCCTGCTGCCAGCACCCCAGCAAATGCCCAGCTGTGGAGGGGCAGCACCCCAGCAAATGCCCAGCTGTGGAGGGGCAGCTCCCCTTTGTGCCACGATGGTTCCCACCCTGCTGTGGTGCTCAGAGCCTGCGTTTCACACCTGTAACCTGCCAGCCTAACAAACAGCTCAGCTTGGAGCTAACACCACATAGGTCAAGTACTGGTTCATTTTGATCTTTTTCACAAACGTGCTTTAGGAAGAGTGGGGGATTTGGAAGCAAATTACTTCTTTTCTTTATTGAATTTATTGTATTTAAACACGGTTCAGCATTTTTTTCACTGCAGAGAGCTGATTTGTCTGTATTTGTTCAAGGTTTGCAAAACCATTATACACAGGAGCTCATTGGAAGCCAAGATCTCTAAAAGGTCTGTAGGCCCAATACCTTTTCAGTAACACACAACCCAAACACGGCGATAAAACTTTCTGTGCATTTGTGACATGTAAGATATGTAAGAAAATTATTGTTTGAAGACACTTAACATACCTGATGTGTAATGGAAAAAGGTATTTATTCTTCTGAGCCAGTGTGATCTCCCAGATTAACTGCTTTGTCCTCAATGCCTCCCTTAAAATGTCAAATGTGATCTTGGGTATTGCAAGTCTGTCACCTGTTTTGCTAGTACTGTGTTATATCTGTAATAAATGTCTTCTTGTGGGAGAGGAGAATGGAGTTTATTTCACCAGAGACGGTGGCTGGGTGTCAGAGGGAGTGGAGGAGCTGCAAGGGGCAGCTGGCACAGGAACCTTTCCCAGCACTGGCTAGGAAGGGGAGGGGAAATGAGTCCTTAACCACTCGGACCGTGTTGGCTGCAGAATTAGGGGGCTCTTGCTCTGTTGCCAGGGAAGCTGAGGTGTTTCCCAAGTGGCAGGGGTAGCACCAGAGATAACTCAATTGCAGGAGTACCTTAGAGTGAGGTGGAGGAAAGGTGCACGGGCAGGAGCCCGTTAGCGTGGGCACGGCAGAGAGCGAAATGCGCGGCTCTGCAGCGCCTCCTCCTTCCCTGGGAACAGCTGGGGCTCCATCTTGGGAGGAGGAGCTGACACCTGCCCGGGCTGTGCTTTGGGCAGTGTGCTCACTGCAGCCCCGGGAGCTGACACCTGCCCGGGCTGTGCTTTGGGCAGTGTGTGCTCACTGCAGCCCCGGGAGCTGACACCTGCCCGGGCTGTGCTTTGGGCAGTGTGTGCTCACTGCAGCCCCGGGAGCTGACACCTGCCCGGGCTGTGCTTTGGGCAGTGTGTGCTCACTGCAGCCCCGGGAGCTGACACAGCTGGGCTGTGCTTTGGGCAGTGTGTGCTCACTGCAGCCCCGGGAGCTGACACCTGCCCGGGCTGTGCTTTGGGCAGTGTGTGCTCACTGCAGCCCCAGGAAGTGACACGAGTCCCCTGTGCCTGTCCTGTCCCCGCACCGCAAGGAGAGCAGCCTCAGCCCCGAGCCTCGGCTCGCAGCAGCCCCCCAGAGCGGCGGAGGAGCCGTTCCAGAGCCGTTCCAGAGCCGTGCCCGCTCCAAGCGGCCGGCCATGGCACTCCCAGCTCCAGGTGGGCAGCACCGGGCACAAGGAGCAGGGATTGGCTCTGGGGCTGGCTGACACTCCCAGAGCAGCATGGCAGAGGTGGCTTCATTTCCCTTTTGGGAATAAAATGCTGCTCTGATCCTGTCTGACAGCTCCGGGTTCTTGTGGGTACCCCACAGCTCTTCCTGTGCTCTTCTCTGTGTGAGAAGGATTTAGGATCAAGAGCAGGGTTTTACAGAAAGACAGAAATGCAGCATCAGTCACAGCAGTGCCCAGAAACCCTAAAACAGGCCAGGTATGCAGTCTGATGCCAAGGAAACCATATGGAACATCCAGCACTCATTTTGGTCAAGGCAGAAGTCTTACCTGCAGTCAGTAAGAGCAATCTGAACATTACACACTTTTCCTGTGCAAACAGGACAGCACAGAGGGGAGGAAAAGATGGCAGTTAGGTAATTAATTCATTCATTGCACATTATGGAAATGCACTACATTCTTGTTTTAAAAGATGGCCTATTTTAAATTATTTCTGTTTAGTTGCACCCCTTTTCACAAGTTATTTATTAAAGCAGTACAGATTGGTTTATCCTACCCTCTCTATCCTGCATCAAACCCAGCTCCCTCCATGCCTGCCCCACAAGAGCCCTCCTGGAAACACCCTCAGGAAGCACCTGAGCAGCACCTGACTCTGTCTTTGGCAGGGTACCCCACTCCCCACCACAGGCAAAGGCTTTCTAAGCAACTTGAACTTAATAAAGTAAAATACTCAGAATTACAAATTTAAATTAAGTGACATTATTCTCAGATAACTTAAATTTATTTTTTTCCAAAAGTTATTTACAGATTTACAAGTATTTGTGTGGTATTTTACAAAAAGTTACATCAGGTCATTTTAAAAACATTTTTCTTTACAAAAGCTACATAAGCAACTACATTGAGGTGTTAGAAAGAATAGCTATGTTAGCTTTTGGGATATTCCCTAAATCCCTGTCCTCAGAGACAAAGCCAAGCTGAACAAGGTGCAAGGACAGCTGAGGGACCTGTTTGCAGCCTCCCTGTGCTGCCAGCACAGCTCTCCAAGCCCACAGCTGCAGGAACTACAGGGCTGGGAATCCTGGAGGATGCAGGGCTGGAGCCCAGGCCAGCAGTGGCCAAAGGGAGCAGGGTGCAGGGCAGTGAGGGCAGTTTATCAAAGGATATTATTTCTATTTCCTATGGAAAGAACAAGGATCTTACATTCCAACAAAAGTTACCACCAGTGACAAGAGTGGGTGGACTCAGAAGGGCTCAAAAGTGCTCTGCAAAAAATGAAGTTTAGCAACCAGCTCTGAAGGTTTGAGAAAGATGGTGACAAAATAAGGAAGAGGTTCCCTGTGCAGCACAGAAAGGATGTGATCTGGCATTCCATCCCAGCCTTTCCAGGTGGTTTCTAGAGCTATGCAGTGACTCCACGTACCAGCTGGAGAGCATGACTGGCATGAAAATGCTGCAGAGACTGGTTCAAGGTTACAGACAATGTCAGACAAGAGGCCTGTGCTGAACAGCTCTCTTTGAGTGGAACACAGATATATCAAATTCATAATTCATGTGAATTCATGAAAACACACACACATTCATTCAGCAAAACACACCTTCCTCCAGGAGTGCCCTGAGCACTGTTTGTGCCCTGGCAGAGCACAGCTCCCCTCACCTGGGACTGCACAGAACACCTGCAGTGCCATGTTCTGGGATGTTCTGGAATATTCTGGGATGTTCTGGAATATTCTGGGATGTTCTGGGATCTACCAACTCCTGCTAATGCAGAGAAGTAAACGAACACCCGAATTTGGCAACAACTTCTCAGACCACTGCATTAATGGCCATGCTTTTCTCCAGTACAATTTGAAAGCAGCTACTGCAGGGTTCTGCTTCCCAACAGCCTGTCACAGGCACAGGATTAGGTTGGACTTGTGGCACATCAGTCTGCAGGAGTATCACCTTCCTCCAGATCATCTTAACAACTGAAATATTCATCCAACACACATTAACACTGAGTCTGCTGTATAAACTGCCCTGCTTCCTCCCAAAAAAGCTGCTGAGGCATTTGGCAGACCAACATACCCGTCTGGGCTCTTTTTAGATGTGCATTTTCTACATTTGGTCCCATTGTCTCCATTTGTCTCAAGAGGAAGCAGAGAAGTAACTCATTCACAGCACTTTGAGATTCCAACTCCACACTGCTTACCTCAAAGGCTGGAAATGCTGTTCACACTCTCTAGTGGGTGTGGTGGTTTGCACAGGATGAGCCGAGCAGCAGAATGAATGAATAAATCCCTTATGGCACGTTGGAGGAGCACCTCTGTATGAGGATGGCATGGCAGGAGTCACAGACCCTCACAGGCTTTGGGGAGGAGGGCAGGGGCAGCTCATTGTCAGAGCAGGCATTGCAGAAAATCTCCCCACAGTTCCTACAGTGATGCTAGAGCACAGGCAGAGAGCAAACATTTAAATTTACAGTGGAAATGTACTTGGTAACTGGATACCAACAAAATACACACAGCACAATCCAAACTGTAATTCCTGACTCCTTCTTGGAGCCAGCCTGTAAAAGGAAACGGATCTACATCCCAAACTGTGATGCAATCCCACACAAATGGTGTTTGTCTAGGACTGCACACAGACAGACACATGGTCTTTCTAGACTTTTATATATATATAAATATAAGATGTGTGTGTGCTGAAGATTTCATTCACACTCTGGATTAAGGATGTATTCTGCTATAGAAAAATACAGCATGAGGAATGATATCATGATATCTGAAACAGTGGATGCCTCTGTCAGGAGCTAATTGAGATTTAACATAAAAAGGCAAAGGAAACTTCCTGCACAAATTAGTAAAGCTTGGAAATTAATGTCATACTTTACTTTAAAATTACAAACTCATATTTTCTTACTCTAGTGTATAAAAAATGCCATAAAAAGACTTCTACACATGTCAAATTCTAACGGTGCCAGAGCTGATAAGAGTTTGAGATAACAATTCAACAAAGTAGTTAAATAATTTTTAACCAAGTTGCCCTGTGGAACTTGACTATGACACTGTTTCTTTTGAAATTAGGGCCCAGTTGCATTGTATGTATCAAAGAACCAGAAAAATATCTCAAAAATACCTCTGCTTTTACCTGATCATTGACATGTCATGCCACACCTCAAAGATAATTATTATTTACATCATACTTGTAATAATAATTACATAACACTTGTAAATAACGCATAATACATTGGGAGAAATCTTGTTAAAGTTTTACCTTCCTTTTGGAAAGTGAGAATTCCTTTTCACACAGCTTGCAGTGAGTGGCTTCTTTGTCCTTCAACCAAACCTGGCCCTGGAGAAAAATTACCATAATTATGTTTATCTGATGAAGTTAAACTCTGGGCTCCAGGGGAGAAGACAAATCAAGAGCAGAACATTCACTGCCTGAATGCTCAGGGCCCTGGCAGCACTGTAATGTCACAAACACACCCTAGAGAGCACAGGGCTGCTCCAAAACACTGCAAAGCCACAGCAGAGGTGCACAGAGAACATGCTTGGGGTGCTAAAGCTGGGCAGTGGCTCAGCTGGGGGAGCACAAAGGCATCCAAGCCTCCAAGTGAAGCCAATGTCCCTGCTCAGCACATGGGAACAGCCCTCAAGATGCAGGGAAGCAAAAAAAAAAAAAAAAAAACAAAAAAAACCCCAGGACAGTGTCAGGAATTGTGAATTTCCTTCTGTTTAAACCACTTAATAAACCCAAAGTGTGCTCCACCATTCAGCCACTTTTACCTGGAGTGCAGCAATGTGCCAGGTGACACAGCAGACCATCAAACCTGTGCACACAATCTCTGCTCCCAAGTGCTCCCTGCTGCCTTTCACAAAGTCCCAAACCTGCTGCCATTGCACTTCATATTTTATCAGCTTTGGTGCTACAAGTTCACTTGTTTCCTAGGATGATCAAGTATTCATTGATCACTGAGAAGTACTATGTTCACTTGTTTCCTAGGATGATCAAGCATTTATTTATTTATTGATCCCTGAGAAGTACTGTGCAGCTGAAGCCCAGCTGGCTTCACATTCTGTCCCAGACACACTCTGTAAATGACAGAAGGGTGTGTGCCACTGCAAGAAAAGGGCCAAAATGCACAGCTGTGCACCAAACAAGGAAAAGCAAAAGCAAATGGACTTTTTCCAGGAGGTTACAAGGGAGTGTGGTTCTCTCCCACTGGAGGAAATGATACAGTGAGTATCTCCGGAGTAACTGCTGTAGGAGAGAAGTCTTCTCATGCTTACGAATCATTGCAAAAAGAACAGTTTAAGAAAAGCTTCTTTTCCCAAAATGCTACTGACCTGCAATGCCTTGTTAGCTTCTTTTATATCTTCTATTTTCAGCTTTGATCTAAGGAATAAGATAAAGCTACTTCAAACCTCTACATGGTCAGTTATGCTCCAACAACACAAAAAGCTGGTTTAGGCACTTAAATGTAAAGCCAAGTCCTCTGAACAAGAGTACAAGACCACATTATGGCATTCTGGGGGAAGCAGCCTCCCCACAGGCATCCAGTGCCAACCCAGTGAGATCTGGGCCACAGGAGCCACACACAAAGTTACCCTGCAGGGCATCAAGGCCACAGAAAGACTGCTGAGAACACAGAGATCATTAAATGAAGCTTCAACACCACAGGAGGGAAGGTGCTCCCTGCCAGGTGTGCCCTCCCCTCCCCTGAGCCTGGGCTGGGGCTCATTCCCTCCACAGTTCTGGGTTTGTGCTGAGCACAGGCTGACAGCACAGGGATGTTGCTGCTGGGGCTGGGCAGGGCTCACACAGAGCCAAGGCCCTTCCTGGGGGTGATGGAAGTGAGGGGACACAGCCAGGATAAAAGGGACATCCAAAGGGATATTCCAGACCAATGGCATCCTGCTCAGTATATAAAGTGGGGGAAAGGGGAAGGGGGACATTTGCAGTGATGCAGTTTTGCCTTCCCAAGGCACCATTCCATGTGATGGGCCCTGCTCTCCTGGGGGTGGTTGAGCACCTGCCCAACCATGGGAAGCTGTGAATGAATTCCTTGTTTTGCTTTGCTTGCATGTGTGGCTTTTCTTTTCTCTAGTAAACTGCCTTTATCTGAACTCTAAGTGAGTTTTCCAGTTTCTGCTTTTCCAGTTCTCTCCCTGGTGCCAGTGGTGGGGAAGGGAGTGAGCAGCTGTCAGGCTAGGGCTCAGGCAGAGCAGCCCTGGCCCTGCCCTGCTGCAGCCAGAGCTGTTCCCTTCTCCTTGGGGCTCCTGGCAATGCCAAGCCAGGCAACTCTTCTCCTGCAGAACAAAGCCCAATGCCCTTCACACTGTTGTGTTCCAACCGTTTTGGTTTGGATTTTCTTTTCACAGCACTGTCATTACCCCACCAGCCACAAGTAAAAATTACCAGCCCTGACCTAACAAGACACACTGACTTCTCCCAGCTGTTTAGTTACCAAAATAATAATAATAATATTGTCATATACTGTCTAATATGCATTACCACTGCCCCACTATTTTCCTTGATTCAAGTGTCTATGACAAAAACAATATGTATAGGTGATCATGAACAATAAAATTACTCGCTCAGCTTGGATGCCAGTTCCTGGAGAGCAGCCTCTTGGTCCTCACATGTGCTTTTCAGCTGCTTGTTCTTCTCCTGAAGCTTAAGGAACTCCTTAAAACAAAACAAAAATAAAATAAAATGAAGCCAAATTGTTCTCAAATTGTGCTTGCCCTACTGCCTAGGAACCGCTCCTACTGAGAAAGCCAAGGGCTTGAGTGACCCCTACACTGCCTCAAACCCAGCCTGAACAGCAACTGCTCAGGAGAAAACTCTCCCAGACCCCAAGAGATAAAGAAACATTTCTGCAGTAGCCCACTGCAGGGAGAAAATCACTCTGAGTGATGGAGATGAACCCTGGAAAATAAATGTGAGTGATGGAGAGGCCAGGAGCACAGGGAGCCACAGGCCCAGCCCACAGTGAGGACAGAGCCCCCAACACAACTGAGAAGGGAAAGCCAGGATCTCATTTCTCCTTATCCAAAGTACTGAGCTCTGCTCTGAGGACTAAGTGGGGAGTAAAAAGCCCATTTTTTTCATCATTCTATTTGTGAGAACACATGAATGTAATCTTTCTCATATATTTGCAGAAATTTTCTAAAATACCATGTCTAAGTCCATAAATAACACTGCAGTCCATTTCTAAATTACTATAGTCAAAATTTGCTGCAGCATTTACTTTCTTAAGGGTAACAATTTCTTGGGTCTCTGTTCTCAGATGAGACACAGTTTCCTTTTCCTTCTGAAGATCATCCTCCAGGGTTTGCCTCCACTCCTTTTCTATCTTCAGGTCTGTTTCCAGCTGAAGCCTACAACAGGGAAAACAAAACAAAAATCACTGTGCCCAACAGTATCGCTTTTAAAAACAAAACTGAGTTTATTTCTGGGTGCAATTACCTATTTTACTAGGTAAAATGACTATTACCATAACAATTAAGTTACATGTTTTCTAAAGCAGAAATAATGTGTCAGTATAATGATATTTTAGGTATCAGCGTAATAAACAAAGCACTGTCATTTAGAAAATGCTTTTCAAAGTAAGTTTATTTAAAGGACTAGGAGTATGGCATAATTTTGAAGAGCTGACCTTTGAAATAAACAAGTAAGAGAAGACTAACCACAAAATTCTGAAGTATTTTTAAAACAAGCATAAGGCAAAACCCCTTAACTTTATACAGCTTGTTTCTAAAATAAACCAAACCAACCAGCCACAGTGTCATTGGTGATGCAGACAATCATTGCAGGTATCTCTGATACCATAAAAGTTATTTCATTTTACACCCTTAGATGTGAATCTTCTATTTTAGACTAAGGTTTATGGCATTTTGAACAGAACTGAAAATAAAGGAGGAAGGACTTTGAATTACTATTTTTATTGAGGTTTCTGCACAGGGATAAACAGGGATACAGGTTCTATTGGCTTAACTGAACTCCAGCTAAAGGAGTCAGGGCTACTCTGACAGAAGAGCCATTCCAGCTGGAATTTTACTCTTGGTTTCATGGAAGACTTGGTGTTCAGAATGTTATGGGGTGGAAGCACACTGTTCAACCTTCTGGATTCAAACTGTGTCACCACAGGAAAAGAGGAAAAAAATCTGAGAGTGTTCATGCAAGGTGTTTTGGTGGGAAACCTACAGCCACATTAATTTTCCTGTTTTAAAAGCAAACCCACTTTTAAAGGAAAGACTTACATGTTGTGACACTACCTCAGCATCTGGCTGGAAAAGAAGTGAACATGACCTGGAGGTTTCAGAATTGCAGAATTCTAAGGCTGGGGTGTGAACTGTTCTTTTGCCCAAATCTGCAGAGGTGACTGTGGTAGTAAAGTGAACATTTGTCATGACAGTTGAACAAGTGGAGTGGAATTCAGAGTTCTGAGAGAGGCAGGGCAGGGCTAATAACTGGGTTGGAAATCACTAATTTTTAAGCCCCAATCTTTGTATCAAAGATTTACTTCAATAACTGATGTTTTATCTTCCCAAAGAGAGAAAGCACCTCTCCTTACAGGGAGCTTCCAACTTTATGCACTGATTTAAATTAGTACTGAAGGATGTAACAGGAGAAAGACAGAGGGCTGGCTTTTAAATTAGCTTTTAACTGTTATGACTCCACTGGATTTTCACTTTTTATTTCCTGTGCAGTAGTAGTTAAACCACTTCTACCTCATCCTTAATCTGGATCAATCTAACTATTGTTGTGCCATTTCTGTTAAAGTTCACCCTACTCCCCACTTGTGGGCTTTGTTCAAAGTGTGTTGTACCACTACTCCACTACGTGTTTTCCCCCACTCAGGATAATTTCCTCCTGAATTAAGTTGGCACTTTTAGCCAAGAAGTAATGCTGGTTTTCCCTGCTTTCAAGCTGGATATCATTTCAGAGGCACCCAAAGCCAGCCTGGCTTCCTTGCAATGACAGATTTTCTTCTGCCTTGCCAGTACCTGACACAAAGATCTTTGGTATTTGCATTCTGTTCAAAACCATTTAACAACAAGCAGCCTGCACTAGGACAGAGGACATATTGCAAATGCAGAATGTTTACTGCCATGCATTTTTCCAAACAAGGAAGAAATACTCACAGCTGTTTCTCCTTCTGGGAGAATTCGTTCTGCAGGCTTTCAGATTTATTCATATATTCCTGTTTAAGTTTCTCATCCTCAGCCTCAGCCTCCATTTGAGCCTTCTCTGCTTGCTGCAATCTGGTGTAATTCAAATCAACTTTGGGTAAAACTGAAGCTAGAACTAGGGTGTAGAGGGTGAAGAAGACAAATAAAAGAAAAATGGGGAAATAGAAACATTTCTAAATAAAAACAAAGTTTGGGGGAAACTCACAAACTCAAACGAGAAATCCATACAATGCCTAGAGAACTTAGCTCCTGGGTTTGCATACAGTCAGAGAGTGATCACTGTAAGTAATAACTGTTTTATTTACGCTCATGAATAACAGGTGCCAAAGCATGATACAGATTTTAGAATTGAAGCTTTTCTTTTTCCTCTAGCATACGTTCATGTGTTATTTCTGAAGCTTTTTCCCCCAAGTAAGGTCTGTGAGAGTCCTTGGCTTGCACTGATCACCCCTTAGGACAGGGCAGAGCAGGAGTTGTGCAAAAGCAGCTCAAAACAACTGAGGCATAAGGTTGCTACAGAGCACTGCAATCAGACAGCAAGAGACTTGACTAGCCTAACACAACAAAACACACCCTGACAGCTGCCACTACATTTACAGAACTGCCTCAACTACACCATCATTCATTTAAATAGTCTGTATTAAAAATAATGCATTCTTACACTGGTGAAAATAGCTCCATACTATAGACAAATCAAAATGATTAATCAAGAAATGAGGGTTTGTTGTTTGATTTAATCTTTTCTTTCTGAATTCCAGGTTTGTTCAGCTGACACTTCCCTTGGAATGCATTGGTTCACTGTGGTCCCTCTGTGGTGGGTGCATTGTAACAAAAGTAAATGGACTAAAAGGGGATTTGTGCTATATCGTGGTTACACCTGTCTGGAGAATCCAGGAGCCTGCAAAATCCCAGTGAATGTCCCCACCTGATGCTCTGTGTTCTGCACAACTGCCCCAAGGGCCTCTCAGGTAAGTGAGGAACCAGTGAGATGGCTGACTTGTCACCCCCCAGCAGCTCCCTGAGCACAGAGTGACTCCCAGCTGCCAGAGTCAGCTAAAAACAAGGTGTGTCAGCAATGTCTGCATTTGTGCTTCTGCTGATGGAGTTGCACCAGAGGGAGTTCCCAAAAGCTGCTGGCAAACAGGTGAACAAGGCTGAAATTAAACCCCCTTATCAAGGGTGCACTATCTCACTCAGCTGCCCCAGGAGCCTGAGGGATGCTCCCATCACATCTGCAGTGGCAGTGCACAGAGGCCAAGCCCTGGAAGGAGAATGCAGGGACAGAGCAGGATCCTCCCCAGTGCAGAAGCTGAAGCTACACAACACACCCACACCAGAAGCACGTTAAACCCTTCCCTAAATCACCAAATCAACTGCAGAGCTGTTTCCACAAGAAGGGAGCTTGCTACCCAAAATCTGCAGCATGACCCCCAGCCCAGCACCAGGGCTGGCTGCACGGCTGGGTTCAGGCAGATGCTGAGCTGGATTTGGCATGCAGATGATTCTGTGGCAGACACTTGTTTGCATAGATAACACTGAGGTGGATAAGGCTTCCATTTCTGTCATGGTCTTCCTGTTGTTCTAATCTGTGTTTCTGGTATGGGTTTTCTTTGAAGATAGTTAGAAGATAGTTATTTTTCAGTAGCCAGCTCATGTTAAAGGCTGTTTCTGCTTCCAAACCAAGGAATAAGCCAGTACATAACCATGCAGTAGGAACCCTTTCTGTAGGACTGCATCCTGTCCCCACTTTTACAAACATCCCCTTCTGCTGCAAAACTCTAGGGTCGTTTTCCCACTCAACATCCACTGCAGCCCTCAGAGCAAACCCCAGGGAGTGTATTGAGGGCAGTGAGCAGCTGAGCTCCTCTCCTGCAGTGCAGGCAAGCAGCAGCTCACAGCAGATGGAGGCAGGGAAAGGCTTTGGGCACAAGCACGGTGCTGATCCCAGAGCAGAGACCTCAGCTGACAAACGGGTTAGGCAGCTTCAGGGCCCTGACTGTAAATCCTGCTCACTGCTCCCCCTCCCAGGGCAGCAGGCACAGCAGCCACAGGATTTGCTGGAGCACTCGGGAATCAGGCTCCAAGCACATTGTGACTCCAGGAGAGCGTTTTACCCCAGGACACCAGGGAGGTGGAGCTTTAGCAGGGGCTGGCATCCCTTCACTGCGCTCACACTGCAGAGATGCTGGCACCACCCTCCTTCCTTACACCCATCCTTGGGAGGGAGCTCAGCTCCAGCTCCTGCCACTCCTGCTCCTTACAACCACAGAACCGAACAGACAGTGTGCTTTGGGGTAAATACAGCCTAAAAGTGAAAGGAGTAAGCAGGGACAAGGGAAGGTTTAGCCAGAAGGGCTACTTTGTAAATCTCTTAGTACCAAAGAACTGGGAAAATCACTAATTAGTGATTTAAGTGTCATAAAAATGTACAGTCAAATAAAGATATCTAACCTCTTAAAATAAAATTTGACAAAGAAGTGATTCAATAGCATTAGAAAACTAGCTTACATTTGCTTAATAATAGTGCAGTAATTTACTCTTTTTTTTTCTTTTTTTGTGTTTTTTTTAGGAGGGGTAAAGTGAGATCGGAGGTGATGTTCCTTCAGAAAACAAACCAGAACCCAGCTACGATCAGTTACAGTGCAGGATTTCTAACACCACTTTCAAGTCTGAACTGGAAACCTCTGAAGTCCTGTTTTATCAGCAATTATTTGAACACAAGAGGTCTGGAGGAGCTCTCAGAACGATATATCCTTGACAAGTTTGTACTGGTGCTGAGCCTCATTGCTGGCACATTTGACGAATGACATTGCAATAGTCCTAGTTTGAGTTAACAGATCTTTGTCACTTCATGAATGCAGTGGACAAAAATCAAAGACAGATGAAGGCAGCAAAACAGTAAAAACAAAAATTGGGATAAAAGGATAAAAAGGAAAAGAAAAAAGAGGAAAAAAGGATGTCAATAAAAGAATATTCATGTCACTAATTTTTTTAATACATAAGCATGTTTTTCATAATCAGATTTAAATGAAAAAAAAGACATGTCAAACACCAACATGACAGGGCTTATGGATATGTTATATTTTACAATTAGAAAGATCAATGTTGCATATAAGGCCACTAAATTAAAACATGTGAATCACATCTTAGTATCATGTAGTACATGCAGTCCAACCATAATGTAAATTTATATTCCGGAATTTTAGTCTTTCACTTTTCAGCCTTTCAGGGTGAAAACTCATTAAGTCATTGAAAATAATGGCACTTCCAAAGCAATGGGAAACAATTATAACAGCTTCAGCAAACAACCAGTGACCCTTGAAGGCATTAATGTTTATATTAAGCATGTGCTTAAGTATAAGCAAGATTAATGCTTCGGTTTCTATTGCATTTCATTCAGGGAGAGGAAAAAGTAGGCAATAAGGAATCAGAATTTTGAAACAACTGAAAGAATGACTTTTGATACCAGCATAAAAACCTAGGACCAGAAGAACAGTGGTAGAGGGAGAAAACTGAAAGATTAAGTTTGTATCTAAAGTGAGCATGTTTGTCAAACAGAAAGAAACAGTCCAACAGCAAAGCACTAATCAGCGGTTTCAGGAAGGTTTGGTTTAAATCTCCTAGCTGAAAATGACATTTCAATGGCAGCTGTGGGAATGCAGTAAGATGTAAGGGAGTGGAGTTGTGAATAAAGAGAAACAAAGATGGGGCTGTACCTTTGTTCTAGTTGTTTCATAGTTGCATTAATTTGATTGGTCTTATCCTCTAATCGACTGATTATTTCATTCTTCTCTTTCATGGCATCTTCAGAAACCTGTGTTACAAAAGAGGTTAAAACTGAAATTGGTATCATTGCACCATTACCTTGTGGGGGCTTTTTCTTCAGTATCCAAAAGGGCACATGGTAAAAATCAAGTTTTGATTCTCTTCAAGGATTGCTTTCCAAAAACCCTCGAGAACAGTATGTAAAATCTTATGCCTAGAAAATTTGTAGTTTTATACTCTGCAAGTGTAAATGCTATTTAATATTTAATTTAATTTAATATTTAATGCTATTTAATTTCCTTCCTTAGTTAATCACTTTAGAAGTCAAAGTTAAATTCACTGACCAAGTAGCCCATTAGAACCTTACCAGTGAAGAGCAAATAGATTAGTCCAGAAAATCACCAAGATTCTTCTGAAAATCAACCCCCCTCCCCAGATCCTAACACTGGAGAACATTCTCTTACTTTTCTCTCCAGCTCTATTTATATTTCTCATCCTCTGGTCCAGTTTCCTCACATTTGCAGATTGGAAAGTAGAATCCTCTGTCCATCACTTCAATTATCCTCCACAGCATCCCAATTTTTTCCTCTCATTCTGCCACAGATTTGACTGGGTTCTTGTGCTGGTTTTCAGAATTTATTCCCTAAATCAAATTCATGTTTTACATAAGTAATTCACTGGTATCTGGTAATTTGTTAACTGCATTTGGGGTCCCTGAGATACATATTCTCACACAAAAGGCATTTAATTGTTAAGAGATTTTCTTAATTTGGTAACAGGTTTAAAAATAAACCCAAAATTGTAATTAGCTTTTTCCATTTAATATATTCTTGTTCTTCCTTTCCCTACTTTGGAAGGTCAGGGCTTCTCTTCAACTCCTCACTATGTGCCTACATTCTTCTGGTTCTTTTATACAACACAGGCCAAAAAAATGTCTTTGTTACAGTACACTATTACTCTCTTTACTTCACATAGGGCATTATTAGGCCATGATCTTATCTTCATGCTCTTTTCTTCCCTAAACCCAGTAAGTGACTGCCTTAAGAACTTCTTTGTACGAAACATTACATAGGTAATGTTCCAAAATGTCAAGCTGACCTAAGAAGCACAAGGAAACCAAAACTCCAGCAACTGCCCAGAGTGGTAATAATGCATTTCTGTCTCTGTAACCCCTTCAGCAGCTGCACAGCAGGTTGTCCTTTACCTGCAGCTTTTGGTACATTTCCACATTAATGGCTTTAACTTCATCAAGCTGCTGCCGCAGGCCGATGAGGGTGTCCTGCTTCTCATGGATGTCCTTCTCCAGCAGCTTCATGGCCAGCTCTATCTCGTGTTTCATGCTGACTTGAACCACCAGCTCATTCTCCATATCCTGGAAAACACAACACAATGCAACACAAAGGATTTAAATCATTATGGAATTGTTTATTTCTGGCTTGAAACTCTAACAGTGCTGCAGCACGACCTATTTCACCACTTCAGAAATTCTGCCCCTCTTTACCTTTGCAAATTATCCCTAAATGTGACAATCATATACTAACTGGCCAATGGGGTTTTTTAACTTTGGGAGAAGACAACTCACATTATAAGAATGGTGTACTGTGAAAAATGTGTATTTTATGATTGGCTTTTTGCAGATATTAAAATGAATATTATATGTGTTGTGTTAGAAAGTAATGCTGTATTAATTCTCTTAAGCAGTGTGTTAAATATAGTTTCAGGTTACAAAAAATGTTAAAATAGAAACGATGCTATGTAGGATACTTTTTTTTTATAATGAAAGGACTCGCAGTGAGATAGCAGCCACAGGACACCTGAATCTTTCAGAGAAAGAGAATTTATTGCCCTCTATCAGAAGAAATGAACTTCTTCCCGCCTTGAAGGAGCTTTAGGATTCAGAGGAAGAAGCTCACGATGCCCAGACAGAATCCTGTGTTTGAATGGAATTTATGCATCATGGATGAGGTGTATGAATGTGCAACAGGCTGTTGTTTTTAAGGGTTAATCCTCTGTTAACGTGGGGCCCTTTTCGGGCTCGTGCTGCCCAGAAAAAGGTACCTGGACTGTCTGTAACTCTTTGTCTCTATTGTCTCCTATTGTCCTAATTCAAATTGTCCAAATTATTATTACTCTAATTGTATTACTATTTTTATAACCACTTTATTACTATTAAACTTTTAAAATTTTAAAAACAAGCGATTAGTGTTTTTCACATGTACAGAGTGAAGTACACGTGAAGTGTAAGCATTAATTACAAAAATAGAAGTGAAGTATTTATATTTTCACAGGAAAAATTTAGCATAGATAGACAGCATACAGCGTTGCTAAAAGCTTACCTAAAAATTTATCCAAGAAAAACGCGGTTGCTTTTTTTACTGTTCTTCGGCAACATTACTACAGAACTATTGATGCTCTGTGGAAACTGCCTTTAGAGAAAGGCTGCTGCAGGGAGTGCAAGGCAGCAGCACTAAGCCCAGGAGAAGTGGGGTTGCTGGGACAGTGAGGGCTGTGCAGGAGCACCCACCTGGCGCAGCTGAGCCTCCTCGCGCAGCTGCCGGCGCGCCTCGCTGTACATCTCATCCAGGCCCTGCCTCGAGTGCTTGTACGTCTGCAGCTCGGCCTCCACGTCCACCTTGGCTGCCTGCAAACACACACACAGCCTCTGGCTTCCTTCTGCAGAATTCTGCAGCTTGATGGCATCAATTTCATGTAGGCACACAGCTGGTGGTGATGGGGAGCGGGGCTGAGGCCCCATCCCCAGGTGAGCAGCACTGACAGCAATGAGCTTACCTTCCTCAACTTCTACCTATAGACTACAACAACTGCAACCATCTTCCTCATCCTAAACACAATCCAAGCCCTAAAGCTGTCTGCCCTAATAACTGCATGGACCAAAATTCCCTCACTAAGGGAACACAGGGCACACAGGTGCAATGCATGAACATGAGGGGTATAAAAGGTTGGGCTGAAGAACAAGAAGGGCAGATGCCTGCAGCCTTCTGAAAGTGTGTGGTGATACTCTCCTGTGGCAGTCTCAACTGTGACAATGTAACACTTGTGGGGAATATGAAGAAAAACTTACAAACACATCCTCCAAGCACAGGGCAATCATGGAAAGAACTGTTTCTGCTCTGTGGCTGTTGGCTTTATAATGAGAACTGAGTAAAACCAGCAAAACATTCACACCACAGTACTGTCCTCCTTGGCTGTCACTTGAATACACTACCCATGCATATGGCTGTAAAACAATCTTGTGTCCTAGAACTTTCATTTACTTATGCCATTTAGAAAGCTCCACAGATTTAATAAGCCCTTTCCCTTATAAAAGTTGTATCAGATTTGGACAAGTTAAGCTTACTTGAAGTTGAGACGTACAAACTTTTGAACAAAAATTAAACATGTTATGTTACAATATTAAAAGTGGTAAAATTAACATACCTCTAGATGATGCTGTGTTTTCATTAAAATCAGAGTATTTTCACTCCTTAATTGATGGTTTTCTTCCTGAAGTTTAATTATATTGTTTTTTGCTATTGCTAACTGAAAAGAAACAAATAAAAAAAGCACTGTGACCACTTTTGAGAGTAGAAATAAAGGATAAAATGTTCTGATTAATGCAAGACCAAGACATCTGCTCTATTCTCCCTGCCTGCCAAACAGAGGATTAGCTCTTTTTAAAGAAAGCATGAATCTCCTGGGTTTAATGATGAGTCACTTTCACTACACAGCAGCAGTGTGTTCAGGACACTTCACTGTTCCATGTCTGGTGAAGACCATGCTTTCTTTTCATGGCTCCATTATGACTTAAAGACCCTCAATTCTTTTTCCTCATCCTCAGCTTCTGCTTTCCACTTGGCTTCAAGTTCATCCAGTTCTCATTTTCCTTTGTGGGCATCTTAATATGTCATATGGAGCAGCTTACATAAGAAAGCCTCCCCCACATGAACAACAAACATATTTACAAAAGATGACATTTCAAACTGGGGCCTACAGTATACAGCTTAACGTCAGAATTATAGGCCAAAGGATCAAAATAGGTGGACAGTTGGGCTGAAAACTTAAAAAGGTTTTATAAAGGAACCTTTCCTTTACACAGGTTTACAAAGGAACCAGAATACTCTGAGAATTAACACAGAAAAGATGCTCTCACTCTGTCTGGATACATTACTCCCAGAGTGAGCTAGCTGTCCCTTCAGCAGCTCAATTTAGCGTTTTCAATTTTCCCCTTCATTAACCAAAAAAGGTGTGCTGTCTCTTATAAAGCTAAAAATATTGGAAACTAGTCAAGCATCAAAGATAACCAGAAATACAGGGTATAAACACAAACCAGAACCAGACAAGTCTGAAAGCTGGGTATAAGCATCCAGGAACCAAGCAAGAAGCAATCCTTTGGCTAAAGCTGAGGACCGGAACAGAAATTGCTTGGCGAACTATTTTCTGTCTCTTTGTAGCAACTGGTGCCATCCATTCTAGACCAGTCATCTGCACAAATCAGACTGACAGCTGGCACTGAGAAAGGATTCTCTTCTCATTCTGTCCAAAGTTGGAAATTGCAATGTTCTACAGAATTGATGTACTGATGCTAGGGGCTGCCTGGCAAACTGACTTTGAGTCCCTGCAGCTGCTGCCCCTCTCCTTTAGGCCAAAATAAAGGTATAAGAATATATTATCCAGAGCTTCCATAGCTTAAAATAATGTAAGTATATTTAGAAAAACTGTCTTTCAGAGAAAACAATATGCTACACATTAGTAAAATAAAAAAGTACCTCTTCAATCAGTTTAGTGTTTGATTTCTCCAGTGAGTCAACTCTTGCATGTAGACTGCTAACTGTGCTACTGAAAGGGAAAAAGAAATAATGCTATTCAAGATTACATCAAAACTCATTCAACCAAGCTCAAAAGCTTGAATGCAAGGTACAGTGATTAATGGTTAAGAGCTGTGAGGTCTGTTCCCATTACTGGAACTTTTCCTAAATATAAGAAAATTACTCTCCTTTGCTGAACATTTATATGCTGCTTTCCAATTCCCAATGTCACCCCTGTCACTTAAACTGCTTGGCCAGAACTTCCCATGCACTCTCCCTTTCCTTTATCCTCACAATCATATTGCAGACAAAAGATGAGTTCTCCCCTATAGAACAAAACCATTCTCCAGATTGTCTCCCTCCAAAATACATTTCTTTCATAAAATCATTTGTTTCTCTGCATTTTTGAGATTTGTCCTCAGGCTCTTTCTTGATGCTTCTTGACTTCATGTAGGATTCTCACCAGAGTTTTATTGCCCTTTATTACTCTGTTGCTTTTTATAGTATCAAACTACATCCAGGCCTTTTCCATAACCTGATTGCCTATTTCTGCAGAAAGCACCTTTTTTTTTGGGCTGCATTTCACACACAGGGAAACAGAAAACCTATTCTGTAACACCATTTACTTATTCCCATATTTCTCTGTGGTGTCCTCAGTAGTTGCCAGCTCATTTGGAACAGCAGGGCAGAGTGATTAATGCATTTCAGGATGTCTGAACACAAACAACTGGACTGAAATAAAATAGGAGTTGCTGAATCACTGATCTGACAGGAAATTCTGTGCATAAACCAGAGTACAAGAGCACACAGAAGCTCACCTGGATAATGACATCAAACAAACACCACTGCTCTTATTTGTGATGGCTCCTTTCTCCTCCTTGGCTTTCATTTTGCTCATATTTGATGTGCTCTGCTTTCCTGTGCTGCTGAAGGTTTCTGCTCAGTGACACCATTTCAAAGCAGAATATCCTTATTCCAACAGGAGCCTTACAGTAACCAATGATCCAGATTACCAGCATTAAAAATTTAAAAAGATTATTACATTTCAAAAAGGATCTAGATCCTTTTTGTGCTAGAGATTCTACAGAAGTTCTCTAGATGTGCTAGAGATTCTACAGAAGTTCTTTCTGGCTTTACTGTTTGGCTGTGGCTTGTTGGGGTTTTTTAGCTTTTCAGCCCCTCAGACTTTAATTTGGTACAATAATTCTCAGAGAATTTAAATCACTGTTCTTCTATTTGCACAGTAACAAGCACGGTGGTGGACTAGGTTTGTTCCATCCAGCAAAGAAAGAGGAAAATGCTGCTTTCATGAAAATTGTTTCAACAGGAACCTCAGCCTACCACATATAAGTAACTTCTAGCAAGCAGTGAGTTTATTCAGGTTCAGTCCTAGGCATTAAAGCCACAAACTAAAATATTCTGCAAGGCAAAGAAATAAAGTCATATGGATTCACCAGAACATTCAAAACCACTTCTGGCAAACTGTTAAACGGAACACAGAATCCAGACCAAGCTTTTTATTCCTGTAAAGCTTTGATTCATGAGGACCTTCACAGCTCTGGCCTGTTGGTTTTGTGTTTTTTTGAAGAATAAAGGTTTTGACTGTCCAAAAGCATGAAAACTGACACTGAGCTCTGCAGGAGAGTGTCTTTTCCTATTTCATTAAATCTTCAGTCTAAACATGGAGAATTTGCAGCTCTATCTCTGAAGTTCTCTCACAAAGCTGTGGAACAAAAGGCATTTATTTACCTGTAAGCCTGGCCTGACACCCATACTTCAAAGTAATACTTACTTCAGTTGCCTGTTTAGTTCCTCAACATAATTCTTTTGGTCCAATATTGCAGCAATCTGTACATTTCTAAAGCAAGCACAAAATAAAATTAACAAAATGATGTTCTAAGCTATGGACTGAAAATATACATATGAAAATGTCCATTTCAATTGTGTTTTTAAAAAGAAAGGAAGCAACTTCATCTCATACTCATGAAGATAACAACACACATATCAGTGAGACACAAACACATCCAGTGCTTTAACTGCAAACAATTTCTCTACATGAAATATAGCAGTCTGACAAGGATGAGGATGTTCATTTACTGCCATAACTCTGGTTCTTTGAAAGCCTGACTGAATCCCAAGCTGAGGCCTTACAGGTTCCTTTTCAGTGCCTCCTGCCAAGCCTCCCCTGCTTGGGGGCAGGAGCTGATGCTGCTGAGGTTTGCTTCAGACTGCAAATACTCCTCCAGCTAGCTAATAACACAGAGCAACACATTGGGGCATTCTTCTCAGGATCAGAACATTTCATTCTTAGGGAACCTGACTTATCTCTAAAAGAAATCAGCCCCAGCCAAGAAATCATTTGTTAATATAGAAAAGAGGAGGTGTTTTGAGAGGACATACCTTTCTTTGCCCCCAATGTCATCATCACTCTTCAAATACACAGAGAAATCGATCACCCCAACCTAGGGGAGAGCAAAGGCACAGTTCCATATCATACAAATAAGTGCTGCTGATATTTACAGCCTTGTATTTATGCAATTGATAAAACCTTAATTACAGCATTTTTAAGGTTCATCCAGTTTCAGCCAGAAGCTGAAAAACCTGAACTATGACACTTAAAACAAGACTTTACAAAGTTTAATATATCCTTGGTTTATACAGTGCTCTCCTGTCAGCATCCTGTTTGCTCTTTCCATGTCTTTTCTAAAAATTCTCTTCTCAAAATACTTTCTAAAAACATGTTTTTCTGATTAAAGCAAAATACCATTTCTAATAAATAAGGTAAAATGTTCTACCTATAAAGGTTACTTTATTTCAATTCACTAGAAATGTACGTAAACACATTTCACCACTGAGTAGCATTTTGTCAACATACCAAAATGATGCTCCTGGCTGTGACTTCCATCAAGGTTCAGAAATTTACCTTTTTGCTCAATAAAACCTGCAGCTTCTGGCTTCTCTGAGAAGGTGCTTTCTTTATACTACTCTTCACAAACAGAATTATTCTGGACATGTTACAAATGTCAGATTGGGACACACTGCAATCAGATCTCATCTACCACCTCCTCAAACTGAGTTTTCTCTCTCATGCAGCAAGGCCACCCAGTATAACAGAGCTGTAGCTAGCAACAGATCTTGTGGTCTATAGTACACATATTTAATTCTCAACACTAAGAGCAAGTTGATAAGTTTTCTGTAATTACAGGCCTGTCAATGTTGTATCTTCTACACAAGATCAGTGCCTGAAACTAACATCACACAGTAACTAGAACAAACAACTGAGGATAAGTTAACCATGGGATTCAAAAGCGCACACACACAGTTAGCTGTAACTTCTCTTTCCCAGAGGAGCTGGTTTTTCATCAAATATATTATACAGTTATAATCACTTAAGCTACTATGATTTTTTTCCACAAAGAAGCTGGAAGAACCCAATCAGGGCTGAACAGAGTCTACATTTATTTACAAATACCTGTGCATCTGCCGTGAAACAGAATCTGTTAATATTTTCTTGGAAGAGATCAGGGTTAAAAGTCAAAGCCCATTCAAAGCAGGAAGAATTCCAAGTCTTGCTTTGCAGAATCAAAGTAGTCACAAAAGTCACTCATAAGAGTGTTTGTTTCAGGTCCCTGCACCATTCCTATGATGTTCCAGAACAGCAGTACATGAGCCAAGCAGGGTAAACTGATGATGGCACTATCCTTGTCCCACACAAGAAAAGGCTGGGTCACACAAGTCAGATGGAAAGAACTCTGCCTTGCTGCAGCTGCTCCCATCTGAGGACAGAGCACAAAGCTTCACCCTTGCACTCTGCCCATTACCTCCATTCCAAGGTCTGACCCTGCTGATAGTGAGGTTAAAGCAACAGCCCCACAAAGCCTGGAGCTGGACCATCACACCCTGAGCAGGCTCAGGTGGGATTTCTAACAAGCCACCACTCTGAATAACAAAACCCACAAACAAAAGTACAGGAAACTCTCATGGAGTGCCTGTACATTCCTTTACCTGGACAGACTTACTTGTGAATCCAGGTCTTCTCCCTTCACACACAGGTTGGCATCGATCACGTTCAGCCCAACTAAGAGCCCAACAATCACTGCTCCCTCCTCCTCCATCATCAGGGCATGATATTCATAAAACTCACTGTGTGGAGGAGAAAATTGCACCTTACTGGTATATTCATTCTATAGACATCCAATAAATTATTCAGAAGTGACAGACACATCTGAATTTTCTCTTATTGCAGCCTTGCTACAGCATCCATAAAGATGAACTGGCCCTGCCCATACTTTCACCTCATAAATATTTAAAAATTCAAAGTGCATGGTTTTTCTCAGAGGCTATTTAAAACAAGGATACTGCCTTAGGCTCCAGATGGCTGGGACACTGTGGGGAGGGTGACAAGATTTACTTTGACTTTAAAAGAAAACAAACAAACAAACAAACAAACAAAAAAAGAAAACAAGAGAAAAGGCTCTTCCCTATGCCTTCTATTAGCCAGTGTTGAAGAGCATACTGCAAGGAATGGATGTTTGGCCACACTGGGTTAGACAACTCTTATCTTGTTAAGAAGCACTGCAAGCAATGCAAAGGAAGAACGGCAAAAGAATTACCTTTTGTGAAAAAAAATGCCTGGAATTTAGTGAATACATGCTTGAAATTCAAGGACCAAGGAAGAGATTATATGGATAAAAAAGAAACTTAAAGTCCTGAAATGCTAAAAAGGTTTTTTAAATATTTGTCATAGTTTTGCACCAAAATCACTACAAACATAAATACTTCACTGAACAAGAGAGTATCAGCACTTTCTTCTCCTTGCATTTTTAAAATAAAATTTTAGATTCCATGTAACAAACTCTCTTGTCACTGGAAAAATCCATAGCTGCTGAACACCAATGACATCCTGACATACTACTGTTATCAAGGCACGAAGTCAGTCTTAAAAATACGTATAGCTTATAAAACTGAAATGAAGAAGCATCCTTCTCCATTGTGCTTGAATGACTCCACCAGACAGGAGAAGTTACACCAGAAGAGAGCAATGCCAGTGTTGGAACTGTGAAAGCAAAGCTCAAAGCAAGAGCCCTCCTTGCAACGGCAGCTCAGTGAAACCACGAGCACGGTAGGGATGAAGTCACCCCCTCCCCAGTGCACAGTGGGAGAACGCAGGATTGTTTTTAGGAGACTAAACCTCTGAAAATAAATTGCAAACAGACTCCAGTGAGTTGTTTACCTGAGGAGGTCTCTCTGAATGATTAGACAGCGAAGATAATCGGCCATTTTCTTCTGCATCAGCGCCAAGCGCAGCCAGGCCCGGGCGCGGCCCAGCGGAGTCCTGAAACAAAGGCCACGAGGACAAACAGCCCCAAATTAACAAAATATAGATCAAATCATGCTCTTTAACACCTTATCACTCTACTGGTGGAGCAACTGCTGTTTCTGAAGGGGTATTTTAAGCTATTAGTTGAGCATCACCATGTGGACAGCCATAATGTTTAGGTTTTGACTCCAAGCTTTGAGGTACTGAGGACTTCTCAGCTGAGCTTGGGAGCAGACCCAGGAAAAACAGGAGTACAGACTGCACTAGAGCCTGATGATCTTGAAAGTCCTGTTTTCTGCTGAAGCAATATGCTTGCAGCAGTTGAGACTCCTTTCTGCCATTTGTTCGTTGAGAGTTGAGGGGAATTGCAAGAAAATGAACAGAATGCCCATCACCAGCCACCATGGCAGCTTCCCTACCCAACCCTTACTCGAGCCCACCTTTAACTGTGTGCAGCTTCAGAGCTATCTTGGGAAGACAGTGCCAAAAAAGATGAAAAGATGAAAAGTAACTGGCAAACACTGACAGCCAGCAAATTACACCTGGACCTGCAGAACTTCCTCTTCTAGTGCTTGCATACTTACAAGTGGTGAGCACATCAATGAAAAAGAAAAACCCTCACAAGTTGTGTTAGGATAGGAAGAGACTAACACACCTGGCAAAGGTTATTACTTCCTCTGGCCTGCCACAAGAGTAAATAATAATTTACATGCCTGTGTGCTTTAGATAAGGTCTAAAGCTATAAATTAGAACCCTTACGCTGCAACACACCAGTCAGGGCAACCAAACCCTTTTGGAATTTCGTGGATGGCCAATTATAAAGCTAAATACAAAAGCAGAGTGCACTGGAATGGGAAGAGAATAAATTTACAGCTGAGTAGGACTGTGCAGGCAATAATCTCAAAAGCTGCCAAATTCTTTCCTCTCTGGTGTGTCACCTTGTGGTTTGATGGAGCCTTTGCTGACTGCACCCACCAATGTCTGCTGCAGCTCCGGACAGCAGAGTGACTGACACACAACCTGCTCCTCTTTGCATTGTTACCCAGCTCCCATTCATTCACCTGTGCTCTGCCCAGCATCAGGCACTAGCTGTTCAAAGGCTTGGTTAATGCCAAAGGAAATCATCATTCTCAGGCAGGTCCTTTCTTTTCCTGCTGCATTTTAACAACACTACTTACTTAAGGCCAGGCAAATCTCTGACACTTGCTGCTATTTCCTCAGCTTCTGGATATAACTTCTCCACAAGTTCCAGAGGACCCCAGATGGTTTTATTGTAACTCAGAAAGGATTTTCTTACTGTGAAAAGAAAAATCAAGTAACCAAATTAATTTAAATTACTGCAGTAGCTTTCTTCATAATATCTGGTGTGTGCAAGGGTTAACTGCTGAGTCCAGAGCTCCAGATAACTCTTAACTGAGACACTGGTCAGCTCAGCAGTATCCAAAGCCAACTTCCAAATTACTTTGCTGTGAATTTAAAAATTATATGCAAGAAAAAAATAATACAAAAAAAAAAGCTAAAAATACACATTACAAATGTACATGCAGTTGGTAAACCCTGGACCACTTACAACAAATGCTGCACAAAATGACAAGTTGGTAAATGTGGAAATACATGTGGTGAAGTACTAATAATTACACTATTCATTACAAAAGGTGACTATTTACTTTTTTTTTTTTTTTTAATGCAACATTACATTTTTAAAAATCTACTTCCAGAAAGAAAGGAAGAAAAATGGCATGTTTGGGATGAGAAATATGCAGCTAGAGCAATTTGCACACCTTTCAGGCCATGCTTCAGGCAGTGCTCCATGACAACAAAGAACTGCTGCAAAGGTGGGTAGTCAGAGTCCAGAGTGCGCCCAAAGCTCAAGGCTGATTCAATGAGTCCTTTGATACTCAGTTTAGCCATGTTTAATAAATTTGCTCTTTCCACAGCTGTGGGGTCCTTTACAGCTAAGACAACAGAGAAAAACATGTTATGGATCAAGTTTTAGGAGTGACACAAAGAAATAAAGTGCTTCACATCCACCTTGCTAAAAGGAATACTTACCTTAAGCTAATAAACCAAATAAACTCAGCAGAACAGATTCAGCAGGGCTACAAACCACCATGCCGTAGAGGAGCATCCAACCCAAAGCACATTCTCAGTGTTTCAATGGGTTTAGTGGGGAAAGCCCAGGCTGGCAATGCCAGTTCTCAGGCACCATGCTGTCCCAGCAGCTCTCAGAAGCAGCCAAGCCACCACAACAGCACCTCTGCACCTCTGCATGGCTGCAACCAGTGCCCTCCACGCTATCAAAGCAGCCTGTCTGTTAATTTATGGATTTATTTCTGTATCACAGCCTACCTACAGAAGCAGCCTTTTATATACATACTTTTCTATACAATCATACTTTTCATACTTTTCTATACAATCACTGCACTGTAGCTTTAACTGCACAGTGACACAAGCATGCCTTCCTTCTCAGGCTGCTCAGAGTCACTGCCACCAAACCAGGAGCATTTTCTGGAAAATACTACATGCTGAAAATTCAGTTTCTCACCTAGCCACAAAATATTTTGTACCCAGAAAATCTTAAGAATTAAAGGTTTTGTTTAAACTTAAAGTTCTTGGTGAACATTACAAAGTGTATACTGCAAAAATACATTTGAGGATTAAATCTTATCAGTAAAAAATACATAGCTTTTTACAATCATCTTAGTCTGACAGAATGGACAAGGTTCCTCTTCTTAGAAATTCTGCTACTGAGAACAGAGTGCTCAGGAAATTCTTAAGCTTATTTTCATTTATAATGAAGCAATTCAAACATTTAGGCCAGACCCTATTTTCTCAGAGACTAAACAAGCCTCTGTTTATTCACTATCATCAAAGTAACCTGGAAAGAAACAAAAGAGTTGATGATTTCCTGCTTAATTAAATCCAACAAGTGAAGCAAAAAACTAAACTTTTTAAAAGACGTTGAGACAGAGATGTCAAAATATCTAGAAAGGCTTGTGACAGAAAAAAAACGTGAGCCTGTTCCTTTGCAGATCTGAGTATTGGTATCTGATACAGACTGTATCTGTCTGCACGTCAGAAAGCACAAAGAACCCAAAGCATCATAACAGATGGGCATTTTCTCAGTTCCCCAACAGCAGTGAAATTACTTGTCTCATTTCTTGCAGACTTCAGGTACTTAGGGATTGGGTATTAGAAGCCCTGAAAACCACTTTCTAATATTCTGTGTCCCTAGTTGCCTGCCAAATACCCAACTACCCCTCTGCTTTCTAGGAAAAGTAATGACTGAGATTATGTACATGCCACAGCCTTAAAAACTGCTTTTATAGTTCCCCAGAACTTCAACAGAAAAGCCCAGGAGACATGAGAAACAGTAAGATAATGAGAGACAGGGCTGTGGCAAAACTGTAGCCAGGCAGCAGCCACAGCTCAGTGCTTTGTCTGTTCCTTCCTTCCTGCTCAGCTGCTGGGGACTGAGCAGCTCTGCCAGAGCAGCACCAGCACAGCATCCCCGGGACAGGAGGAGGCTGGAACAGCAGCCCCTTTCCGCAGCCAGGGCACGCATCCTGCTTTTTTATTAGCCTTGCTACTGACAGCATTAAATACAAGCGCTAGAGGAGGAAACGCCTTGCTCAATGCAGACTTCAGGTGGGGAGCTCTGCCTTGCTACACATCCTGCCTATTTCCCCAAAGGCATCATGAAAATTCCTTTGTCAGGTGACCTCATTCTGACTTCTGGAGCCGATCCTCCTCAGACAGACTTCTATGTCTGCTGTCCTTTCAATTACCAGTCCCCGCCTGCTCGTTCTGAGGCGAAATGCATCTTAGGTCTGTTTTAAAGTGCGATCTACGCGCATGCTTTTCTTCACCTGCTTCTTAAAAATATAAATGGCGAACAGTTTTTTTTAAATTTAAAATCAAGATTGAGAATTTAACACCGCAAGTGAAATCCTACATCCCAGCCACCACTGGGGTACCGTCTGGGGTATTACAGGGAGCAGAGCGAGGGGCATTACAGGGAGCACAGCGAGGGGCATTACAGGGAGCAGAGCGAGGGGCATTACAGGGGGCAGAGCAAGGGGCATTACAGGGAGCAGAGCAGGGGGTATTACAGGGAGCAGAGCGAGGGGTATTACAGGGAGAAGAACGAGGGGTATTACAGGGAGCAGGGCAAGGCGTATTGCAGACAGCAGAGCAGGGGGTATCACAGAGAGCAGAGCAAGCTCTGCAGGGCTCTGTCCCCGGAGCAGCAGCAGCCCCGACAGGGCTGTTCGCAGCCAGCACCAGCCTGGCCGGCTCCGAGGGGCGAGCCTCGGCCCGTGAGGCGGCTCGGCTCCGCGGCCGGGCTCGGGCCGGGGGCTGCGGGCGCCGTCCCTGCGGCAGCGCCGGCCTCTCCCCGCCCGCAGCCCTCCGCCCCCGGGGCACCGCCCGCGCTACGGGCCCCACACGGCCCCGCTCCCCCCGGCACCGCTCCCTGCCCGCGGCCCCGCGGCCCCCGCCCCGCTCCCGGCGCCGCAGCCCCGCTCACCCATGGCTGGAGAGGAGGAGCCGCCGCCGCGGCCGCTCCCTCAGGGCCCGCACGGGGCTCCTCCCGCCCTCAGCCCGCGCCGCGCGGCGCCCCCGGCGGCGGGAGGACCCGCCCCTATCGCGATAATCCCCCCGCCGCCCCGGGCACCGCCCCCGCCCCTATCGCGATATCCCCCCCGCCCCCGGCCCCAGCTGCCCGCCCGGAGAGCGGCCAAGAGCGCCAGGGCAGGCGTGGGCACAGGAAGCCTCAAGGCTTCTCTGCCGTTCTGTCGTGACATGAAGCTTCAATCCCTAGCATTCATTCCAGATACTAATTCTGTAATATGTATCAGAATAAATAATATTCTTCTAGAAAAATCTGTGAGTTTAGTACTTTCAAAGGTAATGTGGTGGGGAACCGAAACCAGCATTTAAAAAAAAAATTAAATGTTGGGGTTTAATTTTCAAAAGCCCTGGAATGTGAATCTGGCTGGAAAAGAGCCAAAACTCAAGGAGCTGTTTATCAGCAAGCAGGCTTGTCACAGCCAGATGGGATCTCAGCCGATGCTTACTGCACCCTAAGCACTACAGGATGCTTTCCTTAATAGATATTCTTTCCTCTCACCTTTTTGGGCAAGGCTAACCAGCAACCTGTAAAATAAAAAAAGTGTTATTTTCCTTACCCAGCTTTAGAGACTGCATTAACAGCACAGAGGGTGTCACTGCCTGGGCCTGCAAGGAAGGACCAAAGGACAAGGGACAGACCACAGCCCATGGTGACAGGGACACTTAGAGCCACTCTTCCCACCTCTTACATGGAAAAAGGAACTTATACATTTAAATATTAAACAATTCTGAAATAGTCACACTCTGATCCTGCTAGCCTGGCATAAACCAATTTCCTTTAGTTCCTTTTTTATTCATTTCTGGGAATCCCAGCAAACACATAACCCAGCAGGCATGCATCTGCATCTTTTCCAGCAGCACCAAGGGCTGTTTCAAAGGCAGCACCCAGAAAAAGTGATCCATTCCTGCTAGAAGATGCTCACCTGCTGTATATTCATTGAAACACAGAGTGTTTTAGAGAATCACATCTCAATTTTGTTTGAGACTACCAGGGCAATACATGGTTTCATCTGTAGGCTCAGGATTTGCTGCTCAGTGTAATTTTTACCACATGACAGGGAAGGATGCATTTTGCAAGTGGATTCTTCTGTTTGTTTCTCATGCAACTTTGTGATGGAATGGCAATACCCTCAATTTATGTATTAAGTTTTTAATAGAATGCAAACCATTTCCTGGATGGTTTCTTACACCAAGCAATCCTGGATAAGCATTGCAGATTAATGAAATCTTAAGAGCTTTCTACACACAGATCCTAAACACAGAAAGAAAATATCTTCTAAAAAAGCACTCTGATGTCACTACTATAATAAAGAGCATATTTTACCCTATTTTTTCATCTTTTGAAAGACCCAGAGCACAGGCACAGTTGATGAAGCATGTATTTTCACCTGAAAAAGGAGAACATCCTGTCAACTTTTCAAATTATTGTTGCATCATTCTAAATATTTGCCTTGTATAAAATGAAACATTAACAAAGTATAAACAACTTTAATGAAACCAACAGCAAACTTTTATTAGTTCAAACATTACAAAAAGTTAGGGAGCAGTTTAAAAGAGTGAAAATGCCCACATTTAACAAGTTTGTCTGCAACTGTATGCACACAGCTACTTGACATTGAACCAAGAGAAAACAAATGCTAATGATTCTGAAGAACAAAAAAATTGATGTTTCTACCAGCAGCCTTGCAAAGAAACTTCTCAGCATCTTTGGTGCAGAATATGAGGTAGCATAAAGAAACTAACAGAGATGTCTCAAGTAAAAGGTGTTTTCTGTTGTTTATATGCCATCATCTTTAAAAAATACAACCAGAGCATGTAAGCTTCTTAGTCAGTGAGCTGCAGTCTAGCTTTGTTTCCTTTTTGTTTTGAAGGCTACAGATCAGATGAACTGAAAACAAGAGTTCTACCATGAAGCATTTCACTTCAGATTGATCTGCTGAGCACACACAGGGGATGAAGTGAATCAGCACCACCTTTCTCCCTGAGGTATGCAAAATCAAGAGATCAGAAATGTCATCAAGGGATCTTCACATGGGAGATTAATTACATTATGCATATAAGTATAAAAGACTTCAGCATTTTTAAAAGCAGGAGTAGACTTCAAAGGACAATGTGAGGTTTTGAAGAAGAGGAAGAAGTTTTTTCTGTTGTTTTTTTTTTTTTTCCAAACAGCACAACACAGCACCTTAATTAGGAATTCTGGCAAATGGAATTATTGTATGTAAACGACATTTTCAAGTTTTTAAAACCAAATTGAGCCCAGAATACTGACTCAGTACAACACTGGTTTACACTCCCTTCCTCTTCAAGTGCTTCCCCAGTCCCTTCTGCAGGTAACTGCTCATCAAGGTAAGAGAATAAAGCAATATCCAGCAGGAAGGAACAGAGTGCTTCATATTTCTGGTTTGTCACAAGCTGAGCACTTTAGTTCTGTAACATCAGCTTTTTCAATAAATGTCTGTTACCCTGCTGAAAGGAAACTTTCAAATAATTGAATGCTTCCTGTTTTGGCTGCCTCCAGGCTGAGGAGTGCACATCAGCACTGATAGCCCAATTCCCAGCTATTTACATTAAACAGCAGCAGAAAAGTGTTGCAGTGTGAAGATACAAAGTCCTGTAAAACTTTCCATCTTCCCACTCATAAGATGTTACACTTGTGGATACTTTCATGAGCCCCGACTGGAAGATTCAAGATGTAGCAAGTTAAGGAAGCATTTTATCAACCCTTGGCTTTCACAAAACCTGTTCGAATATGCATGGCTGTTTGCAAAGAAAGCAGCTAACAAGGTTCTTTCCTGTTTAAACAGGAGATGGAAACAGCAATAGCTAAAGCTTATTCAGTACAATGCCAGAGAGAGAGAAAAAATTACCAAGTCATCTGAAAGTGACACTCTTTTCCTTTCCACCAAGATTATTCATGAAGCAGATGTGCTGAGTGGAAGAAAGCTCTCACACTGATGTTAAGATGCCAAGAAACTCGAAATGATCACAGGAAAAAATGCAAAAGCATTAAAAATTAAAAATTCAGGCATCAAAATACAAAATAAAAAATTATGGCCAAGTTAACTTGCAAGTCAGCACTGACTTTTTCTGCTGTTAAAGACAGAGAAGGTTCTAAACCCATCCACTAGCTTGATCTCAAGTGCACTTCTGGCAAATCTAATCAGCAATTCTGTGCTGTGCTGCCAATCACTGTTAAAAGTATAACCTAAAAAATTAAAGATCTTCCCATTCTCCCCTCAAACCTCAGTGAGTCAACCCCAGCTTTCCCCTTTCCCACAGCAGCACGGGGCAAAAGGATATCATTGCCTGGGACTGCAGGTGGCAGAGGAGCTTCTCCAGGGGAGGGTAGCAGCACAGGGAGGGAACACAGCCCACCATGACCAGCTTGTGCTTGGCTCTGGTGATGGCCACGTTCAGGCGGCGCCAGTCCTTCAGCAGGGAGCCCAGCTGCAAAGGAAATGCCACTTGCTTTTATTTTCCCTGCTTAATGGCCATAAACCACTCCTCTTCAAAATGCATCTAAACCACTGAAATTGATTGGAACATGTCAGGAGCCAGGACATCCCTCTGGCTGTCCTGAGCAGCCCAGACCCTGCCAGGGGGCTCAGAGACCCTGGCACAGAGCCCAAAATGGCCCTGTGGGTTTGATTGTCACCCATGCAGCAAATTGCCAACCTTAGATGAAGATCTGCAGGCCATGACAAATTAAGTAGAATGACAGTGAATTTATCATGAGGTGAAAAAGTAGATTTTGGGGTTTTTAGAATGGGGATTCAGGGGGAAAGATGGAGGGATCTGAGCATGTCCAGCCTTTCTCCTTCTTCTTCTTGGCCTCCATCTTCTGCTGTGGTGTTGGCACTCACAGATTGGTTTAGAGTAGAAGCTCAGTGTCTAACATGGGTGATAGGCATTGGGAAGTTATGGTAAATATTGTACAGGTAGTTTTTAGTATAAAGACATAACACCACCCTGGGGCAGGCAGAGTGCCTGGACTGTCCTGCTGAGCAAACCTCGGCAGGGCAGGAGAAAGAATTTTATAGATAAGGAACAGTAAACAACCTTGAGACTGAGAAATGAAGAACTCTGACTCTTTCTTCAAGTGCCAGGCTGGGAAAAGAGACTTCCCAACTCTTCTTGGGGTCACTGTGACCAGCAGAGATCCCAACAGGAACAAAGTTAAAATGACCAACTTACATTTTCATCAATGCTGTTCCTAACAAAGGACACAATTATGATACTTTTGTCTCTTCCTTGGTATTTGTCAACCGTGTTCACTTCCACTCTGTTCTCCTTCCATTTTGCCATCAAGTCAGTGATTGTTTTTAACTGATGTCTGTAGGGTGAGATGATGCCAATGTCTGAGGGCTTACAGCCGGCCTGAATGAAGGAGAAAGCAGAGAAAAAATCTGTCACTGCAGTTGGCTTGGGAAACTCAGTATGGTCAGAAAGATTCTTCTAATTAATTTTTTTTATTAGCAGTGCCTCAAGGTATTGTATCTAAATTAAAGGAACTGTAAGTGTAACAAATATTAACTAAAGGAAATAGAAAAATGAGGATTTCAAGGACATCTGTCTTTATGCCAAGTTAAGACAAAGCTTGGGAACTTGGAGTAACTCATGTTTTCTTTCTTCTTTAGACTGCTAGGTGAACACTTGAAGCTCCTGCTCTGTATTTCTGGATGAAGAAGGAACAAAAGCAAATCCTCTCCCCTCCCTCATCTCTTAAAAAAATTTAGCATCCAGCTTTTGGTTTTTTTGCATCTCAGATCCAAGCAGGCAAGGACAAGGAAGGGAATGCAGACCTCAGGCTCCCCACTACACTGACATGAAACCAACCTTCAATTTATCCTGAAGATTATCCCCCAACACATACAGCCACCACTACTAAAGCAAAGTAAAAATATTAAAAGGTCTCCCTCCAAACCAGGTAATAAAGTCAAAGATACCTTAATAAATAAGGATGTGAGGAAAAGCACTATTTTAGCTTCTGTCACATTGCTTATGCCACCTTTTTCTGCATGTTCTGGTGCTGGGACCTTTGAAAATACAAACAGAAAACAATGACTTTTGCTGTCTGTAATGGGGTACTGTGTTCTGTCCCTAACTCACTGAGTCATATGTGGATTTATACTGATGGTATGAAGTAAAGAAATAAAGTTAAATGCTAAATTTTACTAAACAGAAGAGCCTGTACTGTGAATTAACTTCAGAATACTGCACTTGCAAAACAAATTGGAACAATCCCCAAAATAAGTTTCTAGCACTAGCTTGTCACCTTAAGAAATTGCCAGACTTAATCCTCTGAACTTTACAGTTCAGCATTATACATCAAAATCAAAAAACCCAAAAATGGACATTTTCCTGCTGATAAGGTAAAAGAGCTAATTATATTCTACATGGAACTTCTGCTTTAACACTCTCCATGCAGCATTATTTACAGTGAATTTTCTTCATTCCATGGCAGAAAGGATAATTTTTTTACACGTTTGAAAGCCAACATTTACACCTACACAAGAACTATCCAAAATGGTAATATAAATTGTAGTATAAACTCCCAACCCTTAAACATTCACTGAATTTACCATTTCTTAACTGTTACCTGCCATTTCTATATCATGTATGAATGAGGCCAACAAGCTCAGGATGTAAAATCTTGTCACTGTAGTGTCACAGTTTGGTAATTTTTTCTCTTTGTTTGACTCCTGCCTTCTCTGGAGTTGAAGCAGCACCAATAGCAATGAAAGTGGGCTTGGAAGCCTCCAAACCCCCTGTGCTCAAGTTCTCTTCAATCAGAACAGCACTGTTTAACTGCACAGGTAATTTCTGACCACGCTTGCATTAGTGTAGCTAAAAATTACACAAAAATGATTTCAGGAAAGAAGTCCTAAAAGCTGTGTCATGCTTATGATAACACATGCTTCCATTTCTATTTCTCCTGTTCCCATAGGACACCAGCAGAACCACCAACAAAACCAACGTGGGCCTAAAAATTCTCAGGAGATTTGCCCTAAATCAAGGATGTCATTTTTCAAACCACCAAGCTGTCAGAGAAGTGCAGACTGACACAGGGGCTGGCAGAATAGAAATAAATAGATTTCCCACTGCTGTCACAAACTTGTTGCATTGTTAAGCAGAAAACAATAGAGGCTTTTTCAGCATAATAAATGTAAGCTTCCTGGTGGTGTCATGGTGTTTTTTCCTCTTCCTTCTCTCTCTGTTTGTATCCCTCCCTCCCAAGTCTGCTTCTTCATAAGCATTTCTTGGTTACATTATAAACAATACATGGGGGAAAAACCTACTATGAAGTGAAAGGAAATAAAAGCTGTTTTTGTTTGTTGTCATGTTCAGTGGGGCTTTTTAATTTCTCCCCCCATGACTGCCACAATACATGCAGTTCTGACAGGAAGTCCAAAAGGAGAAATGGCATTATAGCCTCATGTTTCATCAAATCTAGAATATTTTGGAATATTTTTGTATCCCTCTCTCCCAAGTCTACTTCTTCATAAGCATTTCTTGGTTACATTATAAACAATACATGGGGGAAAAACCTCCTATGAAGTCAAAGGAAATAAAGGCTGGTTCTGTTTGTTGTCATGTTCAGTGGGGTTTTTTTCCATTTCTCCCTCCATGACTGCCACAATACATGCAGTTCTGACAGGAAGTCCAAAAGGAGAAATGGCATTATAACCTCATGTTTCATCAAATCTAGAATATTTTGGAAATAAAAACTCTCCTCCTGGCTCTATGAAGAGGACAGCTGTCTTACACTTGAGATGGGCTTTCTAGGGAAAAAAAAAATGGAACAGAAGCTCTACTTTTTCATTAGCAATTTTGCTATAATTACTAGATAAACAGTGGTTCAGCCAGATTCCCATCAACAGGCCTCTTCCCTGGGACCAACTGTCTGCCTTGCTGGGACAGGAACTGCAGCTGTCGAGGCATTCCTGGAAAATGTCTCTGTCTGGTTTAGACATTTTTAGAAATTTCTGTAAGCCATCAAAGTAAACACTGCTTGTTTTTAGGTCATTAAAGAGGTTCTATCAAACTGCTGGAAAAAAACATGAATCCTGTACAATGTCAGAGAGCATAGAATCACTGGTGAGTTCTAACCACAGTCAGCATAAAAGATCATAAAAGCTGATAATTATATCAAAATTATATTATATTATTGGCAAAACACAGTATTAATAGGAATCAACACAAAATCTGTTAAGGAGGAAGAAAGACTCAAATCATAATCCAATCACCAAGTACAGTGACAAGTACTGGAGACCACAAACAGGTACTAATTTATTCATCTTTTTCCCCATGGGTTTAAACTCTTCCTTATTTTTCCTGCAAGTCAATTTCTTTGCAGAATTTTTATCTGCACTAGCATTTTACTTTCCCAGCAGAATTCTGGGTCTCCGTGAAGGACACACCTAAACCAATTTCTCCATCCCTCACACTTCAATGTATAGAATGTCTGCATTACTGCATGGAGAATTGCAGTTTTTGCTGCCACTGGCTCTCAGCTTTGCCACACTGACCCTCAGCCAATGGAAACAAGGACACCCAGTATGGCTGCACACCTTGAACAGGAAGAACTAAGTTCAAAGTCCATTCAATATTTTCTGCAATAGGATCTAAATTCAAGTTTTCAGCTGTTCTCAGGTGTGATGTTTCCAGCAGCAGCTGTACCACCCTGCCCAGCTCTGCCAACAATGCCAAGGATGTTTTTGTGTGCTGCACACTTCACATGATGCTGCAAGAACACTTCCTGAAGTTCCCTGTTTTACCCAACCTAAGCTGAATGAAGTTTTATATGCTGAAAGAGCATAATGAACTTTACCTTCTCTGTGTTCAGAAAACACACAGCTGTGTCTGGATCAAGGACTTCTTTCAGCCATGACTTTGAAGCATCCCCAAGGTCCAGTTTCAATTTCTTTAGGTTGGGCAAGTTAACAGTGGCATTTGACACCTTCTCTGAGCCACATTCCAGTTTGCCTTCATAGACCAGCATGTTACTCAATGACATAATCTTACTAAAGATTTAAAAAACAAGAAAAGGCATAAAAAATCTCACCATTTCAATCCCACATCAATAACACATTTTAAAAAATAAATGTTGAAAGTACCTATTCATCCTGTATTGCACAGTTAATTGGACAACAGCATTTTGGTTTTGTTCCAGCCTTTTAAATAAGCTTTCACTCATGCCAAGATCTCTGTTACAACACAAAAAATCAAAATGTGTCAATCAGAACACTGCAAGAGCCTTCCCTGAAATTGTGACTAGGAACTGTCCAGCAGCATTTTCTCTTACCTTGCTTCTGCATTCAGCACAAGAGGAGGCAGCTGCTGATGATCCCCCACCAGCACAAACCTTTTGGAGCAGAACAGCGGGCCCAGGCAGACGAGCTGGCTGATTTGGGAAGCTTCATCAACAATGCAGAAGTCAAATTGCTTCTGAGCAAAGATGGGGTGATTCACTCCCATGCAAGAGGTTGCTACCACTGGCTGAAAATGGAGACACGCTTCAAGGATAAGGTACATTTTATATCCTTTAGCACTGTATTCTCCACATCAAAAGAAAAACTAATTCTCATTAAACTGAACTAAACTGCAAAATCACAGAAATCAAAGTATTTAGCCTTGAAATCAGATCAGCATCACTTAGATATATGTTGGCCTGATATATTCTTGTATCAATCGCAAGTGACAAACAAAACCAGCTTTAGAGCAGACTGTAGCCTACAACTTGTTCCTGTCATGTGCTCAGAGTGATGCCAGGTTCTATTCAGGGACAATTCATGGAGTGTGCTGAAATGACTACAGTGAAAAATCAGGTGGTTCGGGTTTTTTTTTCAATACTGAGGAAAAGATAAAACAACAACAGCAGCACAGTTCTCCCCACAACTGTGCTTCCACTGCAACCCAAAATGACCAAACTAAGAAATGCCAAGTCATCCCCTTTTGACTTCAGTCATTCCCCAGCAATACTTATCAATAAAAAGTAAATGGCAGCTTTTGTGAAGTTGGCATTTACTGCAACTCCAAATTAAATTCATTGAAAGAATCAAACTTTATTCTTTCAATTAATTTAATTTAAAGCTGCCACTGACTCGTATGACCCAGCTGCCATTATGGTTTGCATTGACATTCACACAGACAGCACTCATATTTCAATCAGAGATAAGGCTTTGGCCAGGTCAGCTGCACAGCATTCCTCTTCCTCTCCCCATCTGCTGATTGTACTGATGGCACAAGGAGCACCAGTGGGAGGGAGGAGGCACAAACAGCAGCAGAATGTAAAGAATGCTAAAGGAGGCTGCAGCAGCCCATCCACAAATCCTCAGATAGAAGCACTGGGGTCTTTGGGGCTTATTACTTACAATGATGAGTTACTTTGTGTGGACATAAACAAAGCTTCTCAACTTGCAGACTTAATGTAGGTCATTACTGGCTATAAAGAAATTGAAACAATGCAGAGGTTGAGTATCTCTTTCAGCTCAGATTTCTTACAGCAGTACACACCCTTGGGATGGGTTCCTTCTCTGCAGCATCCAAACAAAATACTAATGCGATTATCTTTAATAATTTGAAGGGCTAGCAAAAAACCATTTTGCTCACCTGACTATTATAGACCTCTTCCAAATCTGTTACAGACTTAATTGATCTGGACCTGCAGATTTCTTCTTCTGTATATTTCTGAATATCTGGGTGAACCTTCTGAGCTCGGCCCAAGCGCAAGAAACCAACTTTGAATTTGGCCAACTTCAGCAGGACATTGTCCACAGCTGTGTGTGTAAAACTGGTCAGGAGGACACTAAATCCACAAGCAGAAAGAATTCTCACCTAATGAGCAGCAAAGGGAAAGAAAAGGAGAAGCTGTTAAGGAGAAGCAGAAAAGGATTCATCTGCAAGAATCAACAATCCCAGGTTTGCTAAGGTGGAAAGCACAAGGGGTTTTGGAGGGAGGCAATAATAAACATGACCTGGTCTGTACCAGTCTCCCTGGCCAGATGTGTCAGCTGGCAATGTGGGCAGCAAGTCCTGAGGGCTCCCATGGCCAGCAGGCTCCAGGACTGCTCACACAGAGCCAAACCTGCATGTGCACTCCCAAGGAACTGCACTCTAAGATCCCAGGGTAAGCAGCAGCCATGCAGCCTGTTCCAGTCTGTTCCCACAGCACTGCTCCCATGGCAATGCAGCCACTGGAGGTTCAGGCCATGGGCTGATCTGGAGACAGCAGCAGCTCTCCAGTCTGTTCCCACAGCACTGCTCCCATGGCAATGCAGCCACTGGAGGCTCAGGCCATGGGCTGATCTGGAGACAGCAGCAGCTCTCCAGCCTCCTCCTTCCACGAGCTGATGGCAAATGGAAGCAGGGATGCACTGCTCTGTCATGGAAACCTCCCTCAGCCCCCAGCCTGAGTGCAGCATGCTCCTACAGCTCTCTCCTGGGGAGAAGAGCAGCAGCAGCTAGAGGAGATGGTGGCAGAGTGCACATGGATGCAGCCCCACAGGTTCATGCAATCCACAGTGGCTGCTCAAGCCAGTACGACTGGCTACTTTCTCTTTTGAGCTATAACCCAAGATTTGAACACTTGCTTATATCTGGAGCCAAAGAATTTTAACACTAAAGCATCACAGAAATGATTAAATATCACACTTCAATCTCCTCCCTCCCACATACATTCCTACACAAGCAGTTGACCATCCTACTCCACAAAATCCAATTTTAGTTCTATCAAATATAGGTTAAGCAAAAAGAAATGTGTTTTCTTCCTTGAAATGATACATATACAGTCAGATTAATTCATGACACTACACAGCTGGTTTAATTCTATCCTCTAAATCTCACAAAAAGAATTAAAACTCCAAGGTACATGATCTTACTAGAGCACATATTGTAGTCGTTTTTCCTGTTCCAGGCATGCCCACAATAAGTGTGTAGTCCTTTGAAAGTAGCACTTGCTTCATTGCCTGTTTCTGAGGCTTATTTAGACCTTTCAGAAGAATAAGCAAAATTTAATTACTTCATCAAAACTACACTTCATCAAAACTGTAATAATTACTAAAGTCACAGCAAGAACTGAGCAAAGTCTGTAGGTTTTAATGAAGATATGACATTAAACATAATACACAAGATAAGTAGTAAAAGGTCCTAGAAATAAGTCACTGGAGACATTTTTATTTTTAGACCTTTTGTGGCTTTTTTTTCTAATATATTAATTGACCACCTCCACATATTGTCTGAGCACTTGTGTTTGATCATACCACTTTCACACCAAACACACAGCTCACAGCAAGGGCTGCTGAGCTGCACATACAGCAGAATGTTGTTTGGAACAAACATCACAGCAGAGCTGGTTTGCCCCAGCCTGATGCAAACAAGCAGCACATTTCACCTATCACGACTAAGCAAAGCTCAGGCAAAGTAAGACTTCAAACTGAGTTTTTATAAAAAATTCGGTTTACTCTAAGACAACTCAGTTAAATTTATGTTTTCAAAGGCAGAGCTGTCAGAGCACAAATATTTCCACCAAATACAAGATGCTGCCTCATACCTAAGCAAGTTTTGTTTTTAAATCAATGCCACAAAGCATGACACTGTGTTGACACTTGTCAACAACTTAGCAAGAGTGATTGATTACACAAGTAAATATTTCCTCAAAGCCCATCTCCTTCCTCTCCCTCCATCCCAAGAGCTGTCTCTGTCCCCTCCTCCTGTAAAGGTTACAGAGGGAATCACATGGCCCTCTGGCTGCAACTGCCCACTGCAGCCTCTAGCAACAGTAAAATAAAGTTGTGAACAAGGATCTGATCAGGTCTCCCTGTGATTAAATGAGTCTTCAGCTCGTTGGAAGCCATGTAAGGTGAGAATTTGGTTTAAATTTTTAAGCTGAGAACTATCACAGGACCCCAAAGTAGGAAAAACTCCTTACATTTATAGCATGATAAATACTTTGCCTGTAGAAACACACTACTAAGCAGAGCATTTTGGGGAAAGTAATTTTGTACCTTTTAAAATATTTGCAACAGTTTCCTTTGCTTCAGGAGGAAGGACAGAGCTCAAGTGCTGAATAAAACATGGTTTCTGGAAATCAATGATCAGTTTGCGGAGCCTTTCACTGTGGATAAAAAAAAGCCAAAACTGAGCTCAAATAAGAGTTACCAGTTGAGAAACTTCATCTGAAAATATTGAAAGAGTGAAATTAAGTTGATTTTTCATACCTGACTGGGCAATCTTTCATCAATTTAGAAAGATTTTTAAAAGGGACTCCTGTACCAACATCTCCTTCATCATGGTCCAACCTGAATACAGTGTTCTTGGGGAGGTTGGACAAATTCCTGAAGGATGACAAGAACATGGATGAACTAGTTTTGTTTACCAGCTGTATGTAGATTAAAGACTTATTACTACATGTTAAATGATATCTTCCAGAGATCCCAGAGTGAAGCAACAGCTGATCTAAACACTATTAACTGATCTAAAGAAAGCATGATGAGGGATAACAAAACATAAGCCAAATTTAAAGACAATATAGACTGAACAATAAAAGTTACTATTAACACAGTAATCACTGTATCCATATAGATTCATGCTAGAGATGTAAGGAAATGGAGTTATAATGTGCTTTTATTCTAACAACCTGGGTAAATAGACAGGCATACATAGCAGGTACTGACAGTTTCAATTAAGACAAGAGAATTTCTGAAGGGTAATACTCCAAAGCCAGTGGCGCCTTGTGAAGGCTGGCCTGGAACAGAGACTAGATGGAGCTAAAGAATAAAGCAGGGATTTATTAAAAGGATCTCCTCAATGGCTCCACCTTGGGCAGCACAAGAGCCCAGCCAGGGCTGCACCCAAGGTGAACCAAAATGGTCCCAAAATGGTCACAAAATGGACACCTGGTCACAGGGTCTCTCACTTTTATGAGTTCTGCTCCATTTGCACCTTGCAGTTCATTGTCCCATTCCAGCTTTAGCCCAGGCAGTCCCACCCTGCTTGTTTTCTTCTCTCCAGCCCACGGGGTTTGTGCTCCTGGGCTGAGATTTGGATCATTTGTCCTTGGTGCCCAGGTGGAGCAGGAATTGTTTTGTCTCCCTGCTCTGTGCACAGAGCTCACCATGCCCTGATGTGAAACCCAGACCCACACACTAAAGCAGGACAGAATGTGAAAAACATAAAAGCTAAACCCTGAGGCATCACCAGTAGGAAGGGTCAGGACATGTCACAGCTTTTTGGACACCTAGCAGCACCCTTCCTCAAGCCGGTGCCACAGTGTTTGCAAACAGAGACTTCTCTTTTTATCCTATTACCTGCCCAACAAACAGGAGACTTTTGTTCCACTGGCTTCTCTAACATAGCCAGTAGCCAAACCAAGCAGACCCTTTTCCTCTCCACTCACAACCACTCGATCACCAACCAACAGGTTTGTCCCAGGTATGGCACCGTTTCTACGCTGGAAAAAATGCAGATACTGTCCCTCAGAAACTTCATGGACTTCATCAACTCTGACCATGTTTCCAACACAATCTCCAGCCTTCTCTCTGAAGGTATTAAAAACAGAAATATTTTAAGATTAAGATCCTCTCTGTAAGAGAACTATTAAGAATAAAACCCCACAAGTTAAAAAACCATACCACCCACAAGCAACCATCAAAACCAAAATGCAAAACAAACAAAAGGAAGGAAGGAAGCATCATTGGCATGAGTTTAGAAATTATACTTTACCTTTCCAAAGAAGGTATCATCCATATATTTTTGTATCCCTTTTTATGCTCTCCACTTTGCAGCTCCAAGGTCAACATCAGATACCAGAGGCTGAAATACTCCAGGTGGGAGGGTTTCAGGTGCTGGGTCTCTCTGTCAATGACAGGCACCAAAGCAGGAGGAAAGGCCACACTGGGCATCTTCTGCTCCACAGCTCTGGGGACAGAACCAGCCACACAAAGGCTCAGCCTGCATCCTTTCTCACCTGCAAGCCCATCTGTGCATAGCAACAATCCAAATACCCACGGCAACATAGCAGGCAGATCACACACTTTGACACCTCTAATTTTAAAAACAATCAGGCATTCTATTTCCACAAGACCACCCCCAAGGCTCTCCTTTTCTAACAAAGCTCATTTGATCTCTTCCACATACAATTCTGGTTGGTTTTTGTGCAGTATAGGTACTAAAACTTGTCACAGTTGTTAAAAGAATTCAATAGCTTCATGTGAAATTTTATGGAATATTTGCTCACTACTTCTGTTGACCAGGAGATGCAATAACACTTAGCAGAGTAGTATCGAGGTATTACTTGTGTCATACCCTACAGGGAAACAATCTTCTACAGAGTGAAGCTGAAAAGTGCTTCTCCAGCCTGAACTCAGGCCCAGAGATGGCCTCTTGCAGACAGATGCAAGAATAAAGCTTCTTAAACAGATCTGTTATTGTCATCAAGTATTTTGTTGAGACTTATCTCAGATTTTGTCTTGCAAAAAGTGTACCTGAGCAAACATATTAAGTCTCTGTGAGATCAGGAGCTGAACCATAAAAGTTGTAGAGAAATCTGTGGGAGATTCTTTTCGGGTGGAAAAGTCTTCAATACATACAAAACTGTCGACCACAGAAATGAAATTATTTTATCAAAAGATACAATTATTCAATCTCATTTAAAAACATTAGTCAGACTTTTTTTTTTTTACCTGCTGTACAGAAAGCAGTTGTGCATTTGGGAACAGTATTTACATGTTTGACTGTCATCAATCACAGGAGGCAAAGCAGCAAGCTGTGAATTCTGCCTTCCCACATCAGGTTTATAGGTACTGTGTGTTAAGTAGAAGGCCACATGATTTCTCAACTTCATTAATTCTGTCAAGAAAAGGATAAACTAAGCTGATGGTTTTGCTTGTAACAATTTCTACCTCAAAAGTAATTAGCTATCAACTCTTTAGTCAACTAAGAACTGATTATTCACAAAGTCCTTGCATGGTATTAATAAAACAACTGAATTTTGAACATAAAAGTTAGTAATGAGTGAAGTAAACTCTAAGTAATGAGTGAAGTATCCCCAAGTGTTATAACAAGTGAAGCATCCCCAAGTACAGCTATTTTCACAAGAGTAAGCTTTACAGTTCTAAAGCAAGATTTTAGTGATATTTAAGAGAATGATGGTTTCCAGAGAAGGGGAACAGCTTCACCTCTCCGGTCCATGCGAGCTGCAGACACAGGATACATTGTACCAGTTTTCAGATAAAGAAGAAATCCAGCTTCAGGGTCTGCCCTCCGCTCTAAGCTCAGCAATGTGTACAGAATGACCTGCAAACATCACACATAAATACATATTTACATACTGCAATACCTATTGTTCCAGTATAGTTGCTGTGGTGTAACCCCAAGCACCACACAGCTGCTCACTCACCTCCCCACCCTTGCTGAGGGTTCAGATAAAGGCAGTTTACTAGAGAAAAGAAAAGCCACACATGCAAGCAAAGCAAAACAAGGAATTCATTCACAGCTTCCCATGGTTGGGCAGGTGTTCAACCACCCCCAGGAGAGCAGGGCCCATCACATGGAATGGTGCCTTGGGAAGGCAAAACTGCATCACTGCAAACCCTGCAGTGCCCCCACCCTTCCTCCTCCTTTCCCCCACCTCAGACAGTGAGTGTGCTGAGCAGCTGCAGGGTCTGGGACACCCCTTTGATCCTGGGGTCCCCTGTCCTGGCTGTGTCCCCTCACTTCCATCATCCCCAGGAAAGGCCTTGGCTCTGTGTGAGCCCTGCCCAGCCACAACAGCAACATCCCTGTGCTATCAAACTGTGCTCAGCACAAACCCAGAACACAGCCCACACTTATCTCCTGTGAGCAAAACCATTGCTAACCCAGTCAAAACCAGCACAGCATTAAAACCAAAACACTTTCTAAACTGTGTTTAGTTCTTCCACAATTTATATGGCCAAACAGCCATTATTATAACAAGTCTTCCAGAAGCTGCAAGTGGTAAGAATTTTACCAAGGATTTAAATTAAAAGGCATCTTTAAAACCTTATATCAAGGCTACCACCTCTCTAAATCAGGCCAGGTATATGGAAATATGTATAACTCTAGCTCCTGAAACAGTTTGCTTCAACCTCATATTTGAATGTAGTAAGAAGAGACTGAAGAACAGACATTTCAGGATAAAAAAAACCTAAGTGTGCTTGCAGGTGGTAAATGTATACACTTTTTACTACTAAGTTCACTAGAATTTTATACCAGCAGCTTTGGGCACGCCAGGGTGAGCCATCCATGAATTTAGATTGTACCACATACAAAGTGTTTCATACTCATAAGAGAAAACAGGTCACCTAACAAAAAAGCACACAGAGCCCTGACAGTGAAATGAGCCATGTGGTGCCTGTACCTGACTCCTGTGCTCGATGGAGTTGGATTCCTTGCCAGACTTGAGCTCCAAAGGCATTACCCGAGACTGCACTCCACCCTGGCAGTGGATTTTCACCCTGGCTGTAACATCAATCTTGCCCTTCAGCCCAAACCTGGGAGACCAGATGTTCTCCTCAATGTCCAAGATCTCTACAACCTCTATCTTAGAAGATACATCTTCTGTTTTCCCACCATTTGACCTAGGAAGAAAATTAAGCCAGAAGTTAACAACTTCCCTTTATTATTAATATTTAAACATTAAAATGTGTTGCAACTAAATATATATTATTACAAGTGTCCTTTAAGCACTAACTTGAGAAATAAAATGCATCAAGTCTCACTCAAACTAACCTTCCCATTAACAGAGGAAGCAATATATCAGAAACTAACTTCAGTTAGTTTTGCTACTAATCTAAATTTCAAAGTTAAAATGAGATTTTAAACTGTTTTCAATAGTTTTTGGTCTTTTCTCAATAACCACACTCTGTCATACACTTGAGAGTGGCATACAGTTTTGCTCAGACCTGCCATTTCACTGAAACTTTAACACTCTATGGTTAAAATTAACAGCAAGAAGCCAGGGACAAGAAGAGCTCAGCAGCATTTGAGTAAAGTCACCATTTCACCAAAGAAATCTTTCATTAGTCAAGAACTCCATTTCATCAATAGTTTCACATTCTGATTTGCAGTCTTGCTGATGCCTACAGTAACTCCTACTTTGGTCAGCAGCTCAAATACCCTTGCTCCTCTGCTCACTAAAAGCTCTGGTTTGTACCATGCTGCTCACAAGGATTTAAAGATTTTGAAGTCAGCTCCCCCTCAGGCTTCATGTCCTGCCCAGTACTCACAAAGGCAGCTAAACAAGCAGCACAAGGGCAGCTCTACAAAAAGTGGGGCCATGAATTAGCTCTGAATCACCCAACAGATGTGCATAAGGAGTTCCAAAAATTTCAAGTGAACTAAACAAGATATACAACATCAAATGGTTTTAAATGTAATTCTGACTTCTTACAGTTTTAGTTGCATTTTGTTTTGGTTTGCTGGATTGTGCATGAAGTCTTCTGCCCACTTAAAAAATGATGGCAAATATTCTTCTATTTCTTGCATTATTTGTGCTTGTTTCACATTTAAGAGATACCTGAAAAAAAAAAAAAAAAAAAAAAGGCATGCACATGAAGGAAACAAAGTACTAAATCTGCTGTGGTACTAAAGAGATTTGCCTGGAGTAGCAACAAGATCATTGGAAGTAACTGTCAAGTTCTTATAAATATCTATAAACTGTAGATGACAACAGTTTCATAGAAGTTCAACTCAATTCATAAAACTATTAACTGGATATCTATTAAAAGAGATATACTATCCCAGAACATGAATTTCTGGTGTAACGTTTGAAACAACAGGTACAGCACAGTGAGAGCATCAGTGTGGCAGATGTGATGAAACAGAATTAACAGTCTGACTGCAGGAAAGGGGTACCAGACTCATGCATTTAAATATGGCTATTCCTACAATTCATGCAATATTGAATAAAAAATTAAAAGACCATTTGCTTTTAGTCTGGATATCCTCATCTGCTCCTTACATGCATTTTGGCAGAACACGACACAGAATGTAATTGTGTGGCATTAGACAATTCAGTGCTGGCAACCACTGGAAATAATGTCATTATTCTACAGCAACAGAGTGGATTTTGCACAAAAAGGTTCATAGGAGTGCAAATGACCACAGGCAGCAGACTTATGCAACTTACTTTTCAGTCCCAATAAACAGTAGCCTGCACATGCAATAAGGAATTGCAAATTAAGTTTCATGGAGGCCCAGAGGGACATAAAGGCATTTCAGCAGCCCCAATTCAAAATATTGTAGTCATAACAGAACTAAGAGTAATAAATCTTGCCACTACAGCTTTAACTTCTGACTCAACAGATAGTGATATTGCCCAACATACAATTTAAAAGTCTATATATAATGATTTTTAATTTACATGAGTAGAATTCTATTTTAATCCAGCCTGCAGTAAAATGTTAAAACTAACAGTCATTCATCTTGCACTTTCTGAGGGAAATACTAAGCATTGCCTAGCATTTCTATTAGTTCTGCTGAGAAAATAAGTTAAAGGTCTTCTAACAACTGAGACTTTAAGTAACCTGATAAAGATATGACATTAACAGAAATTCAGTTCTTGGTCAGTCACAAGGTTCCAGGTTCATTGCTGAGGATCATAATTAACTATTTGTCCCACTCAAATCAGCTTTAGGAGATGCCTGGAAATCTAAAATGTTACAGACACAGACACTGCAACCTGCTTGGCCTAAAAGTAAAAAAGACCCCTGCCACATACAGTTACTCCAAAAGAGTAGTTCAGATATACACAAGTAGCTCAGCAGGGAAGGCAAATAAAATTAAGCTATCAAATGGGGAATTATCTTATTAAAAGATCCCTAATTTCCATTAAGCAAAGTCATTTGGCAGAACACTCTCCTGATACCAGTGCTACACTTTTTAAAGTACAACTGAAATTGCTACTTCAAAGTGTTCCTGCCCTGCCTTCCACACATAAAAGGCAGCTGCAATGCTACTTACATTTCCTTGAGGTACTTCTGTCCATACACAATTTTATTTGCTAGCTCCTGCACCTTTTCTGGTGCCAGGTCATTGGTGACTGACTGCTGGAAGATGTCATGAAGGATTGTCCCAACCAGCATTTGGGGTGAGCCTGGTTCAGAGCCCTGCAACAGAAGGGATGTCACCATGGCTGAAGGTCTGTGCCCATTTCATGCCAACTCCTCTGGCAAATTCCTGCATTTGCTTTGCAGGAATTTACATTACATCACAGCCTGCACTTATTTAGCTACAAGATCACGACAGCTTTCACCTCACTAGTGATTATCTGGCCAAACCTGCCTGAACTGAAGTGGGTCTCACCTATTGCTCTATCCCAACCCTGACAGTGTCAGGATACAATCCTTTGTGACTGGCAGGCAAGAAACAAAAGCACAGATTGAAATAAAACTGTCAGAAAGTTCTGCCTGCAGGCATTTCCCAGTGCAAATACATTCCTTACAATCTTACACAGATTTCTGGCATGAAGCAGTTTCCTGCCTGCTACCAGCTCACAGAAAATATCCCCTGTGTCACCAGGATGGCTCAGAAGCCATCAGCAGGGCTGGGCTCTGGAGACTCACAAGAACTGAAAGTGGTAGTGAATGACCTTGGCAGGAGTCACTACCAAACAGCTGGGAACCCAAACACTGGTAATATGGATCTCTCACAGATTGCTCTCACAACAGGGGGATGGTGCTATCCCAGTCAGGCCCCTGTGCATTGTCCCAACAATTATTTTATCCCCCTTACTCCTCTAATAAAGGGTTGAAAACCATTTTGTGGTCTTAATCTCCTGTACTTCATTTTCTTGTTCCCGTCACAGGTTCCCCGCCAGGCTGTTTACCACTCCATTAAAATCCCCTTATTAATTTGGATTTTTACTCTTACCATGTCTGGAAGTTTCCATCAGCTCAGACTGGCAGCTGTTGCTGCTCTGTTTATCAGCAAGGACACTACCACAAATATCTCTCATATATCAGCAAGGATAATACCACTTCTCCTCTTTGCAAGATCCAGCAGCTGGATTCAGACTCCAGAGTTAGCCCACACCAATCATTAACTGAATTAGCCACATTTTTCACAAGCTGTTAACTTGGCCAAGTGTGGTTATATTTTCATATGGATGGCAGGAGGCATATCCCTCAGAAAGGATTCGTATCCACACAAAATGTGGCAAGAGATCATCAAAAAAATTATCAGAATTATAAGTGGAAAGACCATTTATTTAGCCCAGTAGCTGGATTAAAGAGTACTGCATTATTTCAGGTGCAATTCTCAAAAAAACAAGAGAAGCTCAACCAGAGAGTTTCCACCCCAAATGATTCTGTGTTGCAAACATTATGAATTGCTAATAATGCCATTTCCAAGAGGCAGATGTAGCACTGAGCTAAGGCAGCAGGGGAGCAGGAGCTGGCAGGCGGTGTGGAAGGAGCACTCACCCTGAAGCGTTCGCTCAGCACTGCCCTCCTCATGCAGCGGATGCTGCTGGAGATGGCGGTGCCCGAGAGCAGCAGGTCTGGGTACAGCACCAGGTACCCGCTCTGGGCACTGACCACCCACGTGCCACAGCTGCACTCCCCTTCCAAGTGAACAATGTCCCCTGGAACCACGGGGACAGACTCCCTGCAAGGGAACACACCACACAATCAGTGCTTGCGAATGACAGGCTCGGCGCATCAGAAATAACACACCAACAGAGCAGATTCAACGTTCTTTCTGGGCTGGATTCCTTTAAGGAGTTGACCTAAAGAAGTCCTGAGAGTGAAAAAAGGCATTTTTACAATGACAAAACTGCAAGATAGCAGTGCCCACTCAACACACATTACACCTGAGATCAGGTCTCTCAAGATGATACCCATTATGCTAGCACACTGATAATATTACATTGAACAAAGATTCCTTCAGGATCCCCTATCTCTTTTAAGGCCGTAAAATTCAACTCACAGACAACACAAACAAAATTTCATTCTCTTTTCAAACATCTGTGTGGATTACCAGCCATTCCTAAGGATGCACAGCTCTGTACTTTCCAGTGAGGGGGAGGCTGTAATTGTCAGGTGCTTCTCAGGGTCACTTCCATTCCTCTGGATCACGCTGACCTCCAGCACACGGTATCTGTTGTTCAGCCCATTCCTCAGGATCGCATCAGGCGAGTCAGCCGTTTTCTTCTGAAAACTGAAATTACAAACAGCTAATGACAAAGAATACTGTGCCGTTTGAAAACGGCCAACCTACATGCAAAAAGGGGGAAAGCTTCAAATATAAACCAAATTTTAGTCCCCTTCAATTTTTATAAGTATTTTGTTTGGTTTCTTTCTTTGTTTTTTCTTTTTTGGTTTTTTTTTGTTTTGTTTTGTTTTTTTTTAGTTCAGTACGGGTAGAGTGTAGGAAATCTCTATAAATATAAGCAACTTGCTATTTATTACAGTTAGTGCTTCATTTTTGCGTCCACATATCCATAGGCAGTAGTAAACTAATTATAACTGTACCGCAAACCCTGTGCTTGGGGGAAAGTTTGTATCTCCCTGCAGGCACGAACTCCCACAGCCACACAAAAACCTCGAACACGGAGCAGCAAATTTTTACCCATTACCTGAAGCTGATTAGAAAACCGGTATTCAAGGTTCAGCTTCCCAGCGCTTCCCAGCCCGAGGAAAGCGGGTGCCGCCCCGCCGGCCCTCAGGAACCCCGTCCCGCCGGCCCTCACAGCCCCGTCCCGCCGGCCCTCAGGAACCCCGTCCCGCCGGCCCTCACAGCCCCGTCCCGCCGGCCCTCAGGAACTCCATCTCGCCGGTCCCCGGAGCCACATCCCGCCTCCCTGCGCCCAGAGCCGGGAGCGGTTCTTAAGTTCAAACCCCCCGCGCTCCCGGCCGTCTCCGTCCAGCTGCGGCTCCCCGCGCTCGGCAGCTACCTCTCGGCCATGGGCAGCTCCCGTGGGGCGGTCGGCTGTGCTCTGCTCTGCTCTGCTCTGCTCTGCTCGGCTCGGCTCTGCTCTGCTCAGCTCGGTTCCCTGAGCCCCGCGCCCCCCGCGCGCCCCGGCAGTGTTGCCGCGCGCTCCGCCAGCCCCGCCCAGCGCGCCGCGCGCAGCCAATGGGAGGCGGCGGAGGGGGCGGTCCCCGCGCGCGCGGGCTGAAGGCGCGAAGCGGCGCGCAGCTCCTCGCGCCGCCGCCCGGGGAGGGGCGGGGCCCGCGCCGTGAGGGAGCGCGCGCGGGGGGCGCTGAGGGCCGGGGCTCCGCCAGCCGTGCCCGCCGGTAATTCCCACTTTGTCAGGGGCTGTCCCGCCCCCGGCCCCACCTCCGTTACCGGTGCGCTGATACAGGATAATATCAGACGTGCCTTCCGCTCCCAATTCCCTTATGGGCCGCTCTGAGCCCGAGAGTCCAACCCTTCCCCTCAGAAAGATGTGTGGCCGCTGGCTTTCTGACACGGTGCTGAAGTTTCATATACACAGATCTCACTCTGCTGCAGAAAGGACAGCTTTGGCCCACGGTCAGACATCCCAACAGAAGGATCGAGTTCATATTGACGAATTTTAAAAGGTGAGAACATTCTTAGGTTAGGCCTTTACTGTTTTATCTGGGATAGTCCTGAAATATATGCAGTAAACTACATTAATGCTGCTTCCCATTGCAACATTATTCTCTAAGAGAAGCCTAATTATAATTTTATAGTTGCTTGTTGATATGATTAAATGCAGTCATAATGTGGTGTGACATTGAAATTACATAAATGCATTGAACACTTGCTAAACCATTGTGCTGTAGCCTCTTTCATGCTGTCTATACATCTCCCATACACCAGAAAATAAATATTCAGCAGAATAGGTTTATGAAGTACAAAATAGGCTTTAAATATCTTTTTGAAGTTATCTAAAATCCAACCAGTCTGGGGAATCTCTAGGAAGAAAGTTGGACACAAGTGTTCTGAAATCAGAGATTGTAAAAAATGCTTGCTGATAGACCTTAAAGTTGCATTCTCCAAGCACAACTGTGTAAATTCAGGAATCAAGATAAAAACATTTCCATACACTGTTCAATTTTATTTTGAAAAACTAATTCTGAAAATACAGCACAGTTCCATCAAGTAGGTGTGTTTTTCACATTCAGACTCAAGAATTTAGGTGACACTTTTTATGTTCTCTTCCTCTCAGGCATGAACATGCTGGGTTCTGCTTTATTCTGCCTTACAACTGCTTAACCTACCATGACACTCCTCAAATACACCCCTGCTAGTAGAATAAAGATGTAAAACTCTTAATTTAATAATCCCTAACAGTATTCACATGAAAAAGAACTGGCTTATTTGCTCACACAGCAAAACAACATAGAGAAAAGAAAGGCACTTAAATTTTCTAATACAGTGGATTTATCTTCGCTGCAAGAACTTCAAAATGTAAAAGCTCACTGTGATATTGGCTAGCTTTCCTTTATGGGAAACTGAAGATCAGAAGAAAAAGCATATTTACTGTCATTTAATTAAGAATGACAATGTTGTGCATATTTACCTATTAGGGCAAACAGATCATTCCAGAAATATGTATTCTTCCTGGTAGCAACACACACAGATCACACAGGGACACTGGTTCAAAAATTTTAATAAAATATATCCAGATACATTGCATTCTCTGTCCATTGCTACACTGTAAATTTCAAAGGAATATGTATTTTTAAGAAACTGGGGGGAAAATTGAGCCACAGAAGTTGGTATTGAATATATAACTGAAAATCCAGTTTGTTAAATTTGTCAAAATTAAGCAAATCAGTCTTACCATCCAGCACTTAACATCACCATTCGCCAATTCTGAGAAGACACTAAAATATTTACAATAAATAAATAACTTACACAAAGTAAATGCTTTACAGTTTCCTGAATACAGTGAGTCAAATCAAGAGTACCAATGCCAATCGTGTGTAAAATAATTCCTTCCAGAAAAGGCATCACAGGAGGAGGCCAACATGCAATAATCCATTGCATACCATGACTTGAGGAGCAAACAGCACACACACACACCTACAGAGGCCAATACAATCTTCATTTCCTTTTCTGTGTGAGGTTGCACGTGGGCCCTGTGCCTAAATAAGCAATTGCAGCAGCATGCAGTTTCTTTGGCACGGTGGTTTAAGGGAGGGAAAACCTGTTTACACCAGCTAGTAGTGGGGTAGTACATAATCACAGCATACTCAGCCTTGAACACGCCAAGTGAAGAACATGCAGCTCCACAGAAAAGCTTTCTGAGATTAGCCCCCACCAGCTGCCACAAGGAGATCTTCTCTAGCACTCATGCCTGTGAATTTCCCCCCACTCTTATTTGTGTGGTACAGCATTTCTTAGGATACAATGTACACCAAAATTTCCAAACTGCAAGCTGTCCAATACTGCAGAATACATCTTGCTGGTTGTGGCTGAAGATCCCTTCCTGGGCAGCAATTCCTGTTCTTGCACACAGAACAATAAAAGGCTGCCTGCAGTGTGCTCTGCCAAGCTCAGCTTCTGCAGACCTGGCAAGGATCTGAGTGCCAAAACCACTGCATTGTGTTCAAATCAGTTTATTCCATTTCATTTTTAAAGAACAGATGCCTAATTACTAGCTTCAAAGGCAGCATAATCAGCAGCATGTAACTCCTGGAATGCTGATAAAGCTAAATAACAGCTTGGAACCTGTGTAAAACATGGATCTCCAAAACTGTGCCATTCCTAGAATTCATCTAATGAAGCCTAAAAGATCAAGTGCAAAAAAGTGTTCAGAGCTAGCTCATGTTGATGTGGATGTGTCCCCTGGCTCTGACTCCAGGAAATCACCACATTTTGGCAAATAAAGATGTCAGACACAGCAGGTCCGCAGTAACAGAGAGCTTTTTCTGTTAAACTTCAAGTCATTTATTTATCAGTATCATTTGAGGATTGATAGTGTAGTTGTACAGAAAAGTCTTTAAAACAAACGATCAGTTGAGGTGCAAGAACTGTTTCATGAGTTCATAGGTGGTGAAAGCCACGGCCTGGGAGGGGACGCAGCGGATGTAATTCAGGGACAGCCCCCGGTACAGCCCCCGTCGCACTCCGTGCTGCTGGTACACGTACCTCAGTGTCTGCACCATGGTACTGCCAAAGGAAACCACCAGGGGTACACATTCAGCATCAAAATCATCTGATTTCAACATTTACCTGGGGTTTAGGAGATCCGTGGAGAAAAACCCACAGCATTCCACACAGCAAAGCCACACGGGACTAAAAAGCCACGCAGGAGGACTAAAAAGCCACGCAGGAGGACTAAAAAGCCAACCTGCACTTCCACAAGAAATTTAAGCCCAAGGGCTGGGAATTAAAAAGAGGATGGTGCAGTCCCAGCTAAACAAGTGTTGGTCTGAAAACACCTGCCCTACAAGATATATTACAGTGTTTTCCACCAGAATGGCTCCACACATTATCTTGCCTAACTGGCAGGAAAGAGCAGAGAAACATAAATTCCTTTTACAAATAATAATCTTAGAACATAATATTTTACCTTTTTAAAAGCAGAAATTGCACTGTATGAGCAAAGAGAACTTTCTTCACATACTTGCATTGAAAGTAAGCAGACATGAAATGGAAAGCACCTGAAGTGCTTGGTATTCCCATGTTATTGCAGACAGGGCTCTTGGAGAGCACCTTCCCTGTGTTCCAAAGCCTCCAGACTTCCTGCCTGCTTTATCCTCTCACCCTCTAAAGACAGACCTGTGCCTCTCCTTCAGAGCACAGCGCTCTGTATGGGCACAACAAAACTGTTAAATGGACAAGCCTCAGCTCTGTAAAAGGACTCCTCACAAATGCAAAAAGTACAACCCTGAGAACAACAAACACATTTTTATTTAAAAATCATCAGGAGTGGAAAATAACCAAGAAAAACAAAAGGGCTGGTGAAGAAAACAGAACAGAACCTTCACAGTTAAGCAGCACTGAGGTTGTTTGTGAAAGGTCACTTGGGCTGCTCCTGTAGGATCCAACCTTTCACTCAGGAGATTCCCAGTGAATTGCACTGGGTTCAGACATACACAATTCCACAAGATTGCAACTAACCAAGAGGAAACTGTCCCAGAATATGGAATTAGATTGAGACAATTTGAAATTCAGAAAGTTGCTCAAGATGAGAGCTGATTTAACATGATTTTTACATTATTATGGAGCTTCCACTTCTACTGGAGGAACCTCAACAACGTGTGGGGTGTAGGAGGGCAAAAAGCTCAAATAAAATTTTATTATGCAAAATTTTATTATGCAAAATCATCTTATGGAACAGATTCTGCACCATTAAAATACACTCTGAAACTATTTCATTTCAGCAGAAGCATTTGGTCTCTCTCTCAGAGAGCTTGCTGATACTAAAGGTAGCACAAGTTGCATTAAAATGCAAAAACCTATTTTACCAGTAGAGATACAGGATTACTAACAAGGGTGCCATTGTTATTTCAGGTATTTCTTAACCCCAGATTGAGAGTGGTAGCTTTTGTCTGCAGGGAAACTTCTTTAATAAAAGAATGAAGAAATCAACAGCGTAATAGTTCAGGGGGTGGGGGTGGCTGTTTTCTTTTAAAGTGAGAGCTGACCTTAGCTCAGACACAAAGAAGTCAGTGCAGATGAACAGGAAATACTCACAGGCACTTGTCAGAGTCCGGCAGAACCGCTCCCAACTGCATCCGCCTCCGAGTCACATCCAGGGGATACCTGCACAGGGGACAGGCAAACTGCAGCTCAGGCACAGCAGGGACAACTGCTGCAATGGTGCTTAACAGGAAAACAGACAAACCCACAGGCAGCCTCCCAGCTCCCTCTGCACTGAGTCTGGAATCCAGCTCCGATCCTCAACACAGCTGAAAGCTCTCCACAAAGGGAGGCTCCCCTTACACAACCAAAACCAGCAAACCAGAGCTCTTAGTGCATTCCATTTGGCACTAGTAAGGAAGAGACATGAAGATCAGATGAGAGAATAAAAGAGTCTGTAAAATGCTGAAGGGAGAAGACACCTGCATTGAAAATAAAATGAACAGCTTAAAGATGAACAGGCAGTGATATTTACAATGCAGTGATGGAGGGAAAAATCCATGCTAAGTCCATGAAATTAACTTATTTTATGGACAAAATAAAATAGAACAAAGACAGGGTGAGAAAGGAAAAAGCAAGCAAGGTAATAAAAATGCCAAATGCAATATCGAAGACTTGATTGGTTTTGGCTTTTTTTTAATCCTATGGTTTCACAGGTTACATAGGTTTGAAGGTAAATTGGAATCATAAAGTTCTGCAAATTAGGTTCAGGGTCAAAATTTTTTAGCTTTCCAAACAAGGCAAGAAACAAAATTGTTACTAAAAAAAAATTCCAGTGGGTTTTAAGAGATTTGCCTGGATTTGTTTAATCGACTCACCGGATAACTCTTAAAAGACCCCGAAGATTAAACAGGTATTTAGTAAGTGAAACAATAGGAAATGCCTGCATTTCAGTATTTGATTAACTTAAAAACCTTACTAACAATTAGACTGGGATAAAATTGTGTGAGAGCAAAGTTGTTTAGAACGAGCAGGTGCAGACAGGACACAGCCCCATCCCCACTCACGACACGGTCTGAGCGATGGCCCCGGCTACGCCCCCACACAGCAGGTTCACGTGAGTTCTCAGCACCAGCACTTCGGGGTTATCCAGCGAGGGCCGGCCAAGCAGCTGAGGGGCCTGAGCAAGCCCAATGCTCTTCAAGGTACCAAAGGTAAAAAAGGAAAACCCTGAAAGGAAATTTCATGTTATGTACTTGCATTGAAAAGTATCATCATAAGCAGAAAGCTGCATTTACAAAATGAAACTATTTCACAGTTCTTTTGGAAGTTTTTTCTTATGCAGAAAAACAGAGAAACAGTATTTTGAACTTCTACAGAAACTTCTGTCCAAATGGATTTGACTTGAAACAAGCTAGACTGTGAGTTTTAAGGTACTGGATTGCTGTCAAGAATCTGAGAATTGCTGCTGAGAATTGCTCCTGAGAGCTTCCTAAGTGAGGGCCCAGCCTTTCCAAACGAGGGTATGTGAGCTGGGCTGCTCTGTTCCACAGGCGGGAGCGTTCACAGAAAAGCCACCAGGAGAGGGAGCCAAGGAGGCTCCGAGGCCGCGTTTCCAGAGCCGCCAAGGATCTCCCTGCTGGAGACAAACAGCCTCCTTGTCTCCTTGGGGAAACTGGGAATACAACACAACCACTGCTTTACCTTGCTCACTCTCAGCTCCAAATTGCAGAAAAGCCAGCCTTTGACTGTTGAAGACACGTTTTAAGGAGCATCACTGAGGTGATTTGGACAGAAGCTAATTAACTAGGTGTGCAAATATATTAAACAAATTTAGAAGTGCACAGAACTGCTGAAGGACTGGCACGTCCTGGTTTTAACTTACCTGCATATGGTGCCATTCCCACCACAGTTGGCATCAGCCCTCTGTAGAAGCCACTCAAACCACCTTCCTTTGAAAGAAAAAACACAGCAGCCTTTGTAGCAGGAAACACAAGTGTCCTGAGTCCCCCCTGCTCATCCAGACTCCCATGACAGCAATCTGCCCAGCACCAGCCACCACCAAGGAGCTCGTGTCACATTCTGCCTCCTGTGCCTGAGGAACTGAAGGGACAACTGCCTGGCTCCAGAGGAGATAAGCAAAAAGCAAGGTAAAAAATCTACCCCCAACATTGGAACTGGGAACATTTATGCATTATACACAGCCCTCCTCCCCAAATCTTTTTTAACATCACTACCTTTCTTGGAAAGCAGCTTCTGTGCTGTTTCTGACCTCCCACGTACAGGAGCCTGAGCTACAGCTCAGCAGCCTAAGGCAAAAGCAGCATCCAAAGAACTTTTTACATTAAAAAATCCAAAGTGCACACAATGAAGTCACTTATTTCACACTAAGCCATTATGGTCAATGCAGTGCAACATTATTTAAGAGCATACTTTGCTTTTTCAGAACTGAAGATGAAAAGAAAAAATACCTTTGTGTAAATCATCTTGAATGCATGGATAATTCCCATGTACTTGTGTTCCCCTTTTACTTGGAACGCCAGGCGAACTCTAACCATATCAAGAGGGTAAGTACAAATCACTGCTGTAATACCTTTATTAAAAACAAAAACAAAACAAGCAAACAAAACTCACCTACACCTTAGCTGATTCTAGGATTATTTTGAAAAGCAGAATTTCCTTTTCTGGCAGTGAATACAATAGCATGTACAAAGTATTTTGTTACAGAAACACTTAAAGTCACTTACAATCAGTAAACAGGAACACCAACTCCAGCAACACACAAAGGATGTGTTTGTACTTGGTGGTCACCGAAGCAGCACACCTCACCTAGGCCTGGATTTCCCAACATTTCTGGGCCTGACTGCATTCACCTGAGCTTTGAAATCCACAGCTCCTAAGAACCAGGCTGGTTAAGTACATCAGCTTTACTGGATTGCAACCATGAAACCTAATCCTACCATACTAAAAAACACCTCAAACCACCAAATTTACATGTAGTATTCCAAACAGGTTCTGTCAGAATTTGGTGTCATTATTGAGTATAGATACATCTATCTATCTACTGTATCTGAAAATATGAAACATATCCTAGTGACACACTAAATATATTCCAATTACATCTAAAATAGAGCCAGGCTCATACTGATGAGAAGTACTTAACTGTGTTGCATTAGTGCATTTCAATAGCTCATGTTACATCAGCACTTCTGTTTTAAAACTGAGCAGAAAAGTTTTCTGGACTTAAGATGCAAAATAAAAGGAAAAAAAATAAAATCTTAGAACTAATCCAGTTTGGAGCTGTTCACAACAGCTGAAATGCTGACCAGCTTGCAGTTCTGGAAGCACAACTCCAGCACAGAAAAGAACAATTCTAACACTTGCCTGAGTAATAAATTCTTTCCAGGTAGGTATTGAGGCAAACCACTCCATGGCTGACAGAGTCTTTGGAAGGAACAGTTAAAACTCTTCACTAACAACAGTGGTCATTTTCTGATGGTACACCACAGTCACAAAAAAAAACCCCAAAAAACCCCACCAGAGAACCAAAATCAAACAAAAAAAATTACAGGGAAAGGCAGAAAAGAAAGTAAAAGCCTTTGTAATTAGCACTGTTTTCTAGAAACTGCTCTGATTTAGCCAAATGGAGCTTTTAAAAATTGGTCCTACAGAAGATAAGTACATTTTTGGTAGAAAGAAAATTGTCACTTGTTTTTGTCAGGAAAATGTCACTTCCTTTTAAGTTTTAATAGTTTCTTAATGACGCCTCTTTTTGTGGGTGTATCATCTCCCCTCCTTTCCACAAGGCCAACACAAATCCATAACAGGGGGAACAGAAAAACAACACGAACCAATAACAAAATCCAAATGCAACACAGCCCCTGCAGACAAGCTCTGCTTAACTTTTATGCGTGGAGTTAAAAAAAACCAAAAAACAAACACTGCTCTAATAAACTGAATGATCTGAAAGTTATCAGGATTAGATGGTGAGATAAAAAACCAGTAAGTGACCTATCCAAAAATCTGACACTGGTCAGCTCTCAGTTGGGAACCAACTTTGTGGGATTCTGGATTATCCCATCAGTAATTCATTTTAGAAGACAAAACCACCTCTTTTGGAGATTTTGGAAAAGCCCTCTGAACAAAAAGCAGACATCTGCAGTTTATTTCTAAGGTTGTCTCACCCACAGGATTCAAAAGTTGGAAGCTGCAAAACACTAAAGCAACTTCAAGACTGTTTGCACTGACTTACATGAAATGCAGGCCCTCAGTCTAGAGCCCTTCCCCAATGGATTCCCTGAGATGTCCAGAAACATCATCAAATAGATCAATTCAAACAGTTTAAAACAAATGAAGGGAGAGGTAAAGCACTTTTACAGAGCTTGAGTGCACAGGAAGCCATCCCATTTCAGAAAAGAGACTTTACCCCCTCTCCTCTTTCCAGCCCTGCACTGAAATCCATCCAGGCACTTCCCCTGAACAAAGGCTAGCAACAGACCAAGCAGGAGCTTGGGGAATGCACTCTTTAGTGAGCACACTCTGAAAATAGCACCATTTAAAAAACCCCACACAGATGAATGGTATGTAGAGTGAGGATTTAAATAGAAACTTTTAAATATATTTTCTTAAAGTCCTCTAGCTATGAATTTTTGAAAAACAAATGAAAGAAGTAAAAAGGGGATTTGGGACATGAGCCACAATATATGCTGTCTGGTAGCAACCAGGAGAGGCATGTAACTGCTTTACTGTTCATCCAAGGAAAAGGTACACACAAGGGATCAGGATGGCTTCTGGGGCTCAGGAGAGACACTGTCCTTTCCAAGAGGAATGGAGCCAGCTGTGGGACACAAAGCCATCGTGGTGAAGCCTACAAAATCACTCATCTCTGCTCCTTCAATACTGCCTGATGAGAAGCCAGACCTCAGCACCTTAAGGCTCAGTCACAGGCTTGAAAAAGCAAAGTCTGTCCCCACCAATGGTAGCTAAGCCAAAAATCTCTGCTGGGGAAGGTGAAACAGGACAGATTCAATGTGCACCAGCAGTTCAGAGACACACACTGCCCTTGGCACTGCTCTGAAATAACCTGAACAGGGGAATGCAGCTCCTCCCTTCACAGAGCCACTTCCCCTAAAGCAGCACACCTCACTGCCAGTGCTGACCCAGCAGCCAGGGAAAGGCCCTTCTCCACTTGCCACCTTGTCCCCAAGCACCTCTGACCACTCCTGGGGACAGGACACTGGCTCACACAGACTAAAGACACTGAAGCACATGAGACTGTCCTTGATTCCCTCCCAGGCTTTGGCAGCTCACAATGAGATTAGCTCCACAGGGATTCATCTGTCCCCCAGTTTCAGTGCTACCCCTCTGTTCTTAGTAACCTTCTTTGGAAATAAAAATAAAAACCCATCAGGAGCAAGAAAAACCCACAAGTGAAATACTTTTGCATTGCAAACACAGCTGGTATGCAAGTTTTTATTATCTCTGTATCATGCTCTTTGTACCATATCAGGAGCCCCAGAGATGAAATTAAGCACTGCCAGGAGATTCAGGGGAATAAAGTTCAAAAGTGATAAGCACAAGACACAGCCTTGAACTGCAGATTTGCTCCTTAGCTAATGTAAAGATTAAATTATCCAAGTAGCATCTTCTGAACAAAAAGCTTCAGAAACAACAAACACAGAAATTGCTGATGACAAAAAATATTTATCAGGTTAAAGAACACCTAATTCATCAGTTCTAATATTTCTTTATGCCAAATAAATAATAATTCTGTTTCCTTCCATAGCACATCTGAAGAACTAGACCAGATTTTTTTAAAATGCTGACTGAAGTAGCCAACTGTTAATTACATACTATTTAAAATGGAGACAGCCAACATCCTCCTAGACAGTGCTAGGTCAGTACAATTTTCAATCACTTTTAGTAAAAGTAAAAAGCTAGAACCAAAAGCATACTTTCTGTAGTAGTTTAATGGGACTTGAGTTTATTCTAGATAACATCTAGTCTTTTTTGGCTCTGTTATTTTGAAGTTAATCAAGTGCAAAAGAGGAAATACACATTTCTATGTTTTGATTTGGATTTTTTATTAGAAAACTTTAAAAATTAATTTATAAAATCATTCTGTGATGTTTTATTTAATGTTACTTGTTCATTTTTGATGTTATTTGATAATTTTCTTTCCTAAACCCAACCAACCTCTATGATTTCTCTTCTGCCCAGCTCTCTTTCCTTAAAAGAGACTTTACCTACTTATCTGTTAATGAAGTGTTACAGCTGAAATTTGAATCACACAAGACTCAGGAAATTCAGAGTTAGAGTTTCCACAGTAATTTTAACTGGGTCTCCTTAAATATAAGCATTACAATAGGCTTTTATTTTCTCTCCCTCCACTGCCCCCACCCTCACTGCCTGGTTTTCCCTGTGGATATGCTTTTGATGCTGTTTATCACTTACAGAAGACACTTCAATGTTTCCCACCACTTGGAGCTGACTCAGCTCTGTTGAGCCCCAGTCTGGTTGGAAACACTGCCATGAACAAGATTTGTGTTTGGTGGGTGAAAGCAGACAGTGAAAGCTGCCAGCTGCCTGGCTGGATGCTGCAGGGGGGACAAAAAGCCCAAAGAAACACAGGTTATGTATCTCAACTTGATCCTGCAGCCATGAAACTGTGAATGCCCCTGTGCACCAGCACATCATCTCCTCTAGCGTTAGTGTGGAAGAAACAGAAAATCATCCTCTACTGCAGCCAGCACAGCAGGGAAAGCAAGAAGTATTACCAATCTTTCAAGTCTTTTCTGTTTTGTTTGCAAACCTAGAAAACTTCTGGACCAGATTTCAATCTCTGCTCTTCTAGTGCCTCCTTCATCCCCTCATCTCCTTGATATACTTCAGATAAACCCTCTGCCTCTTATTATCTAAAGAACACCCCAAGAAGCAGAATGCCACCTAGAAAACAAACACACGTGACACTATATAAATACTTGACTGCTGTGTTCATCTCACCCCCAAGTCAAGCTCAGCTCCTCACTTTCTGAGCTCTAAAAATGAAACTACTGAGTATATGGTACTTAAACACCCCACATAAAGCAGATTGTGCTTGCCAGATAGCACTGTACATTAATTTATTTCTGTTATTCTAACCACACAAACCAGATTTAACCAGTAAGGTGCTATTAATTTATTTATGGGAAGAATTCCACCCCATCCAACACTGACAGATTAGGCTGATTATTCAGTGTTTTCACAGTGCCTCCCAGTCAGGTTCCCAGTCTCTGACAAAGCTCCTGGAAAAGCTAATAATAATAATAATAATCTTTGGAGGGGGGAAGTATATTGTAAAATGTTCCTTAGGACATTTAAAGCGAGGGGAAAGGAAAAAAAAGAAGGAGAGAATAACATCTATGGATCTAGGGGCTTTTTTGACTTTTCAGCTAGAAAGCCAGCCAAATTCTGGAACATACCTTAGCAAGCAGGCTTTGTTAGTTCTTAGCACTCTTCCCACTGTTTAATTTCATTCTCTTTCCTCTGATGCCACACAAAGTCTGAATATTTTAATGAGATCTTCCTAGTTTAACTGAAGGTAGTATTAAAAAATCCCAATTTTTTTTTCCAAAAGCAGCTAAATATGAATACCTGTGACTATTTGAGGAGTGTCACTAGGCAGTTCTTAGCCTATTTTACAAAGGAAAAGCACATGAAGAATCACTTCAATTAAAGCTCAGCTCACTATTACTCACCTTCCCCTGTTTTTTTCTTAGCTACTTTTGACTCAATGACTAGTAAAACAAATAATCATATTATACACTGGCAGTTTACTGATAGGTTTTTCTGCTGCTATTACACTACATAATAAATGAGAGATTGTAACATTCACAAATATGACCTAAAGAGCATCATGAAAATCCTGCACTGGACATGGAAAAGTACAGTGGCAAATCCTTTCTCATTTGAGAAGCCACAGATCTCTCTATTTCTGTGGGCTTATATTCAACCTAGCAGCAGTGGCAGAGGGGCTGCTGAGCTAATTCTACCAGAACCTGCAGCTTTATACTTCATATTGATCACACTGGTTTTTACACTTTTTAAATGCCATAATAAAAGACTCTAAAAAAACTATGCTTCCCAACATAGCACAGAATTCACAGCTTGCACAAACATTTTTTAAAGAATACTCTTAGACAAACAGATTTCAATTAGGCAACCACATTAAATTAACCATTTACTAGTATATTTGCTTAATCCAAATTTGCAGGAGTTTGACCCAACCCCACATGAAATCATGCCCTGAAGGAATATTAACTTTTGCGCAAAAGGCACGTCTGAAATGCAAGCACAAACCCATACCTGCCATGGATCCAGCCATCAATCGATGCACGTGCCCAGAAATCCCAAGCTGTTTCTTTATTACCTGCACAACACGGAACACTGTCAGTAATCAGGTATCAGAAAAGACAGCAAAACACAGCACAAAGCTCATTAGCACATTAGTGCAAACACTGCAGCAGCTCCCAAGAAGTTTACAATGCTATAAATTCAATCCAGAACATTTAATTACTGTTAGAATTTTTAACACTCTTTCCACTGCTGCTGTTTCCGATTTCTTATCAAAAACATCAAAGTACTAAAATTCTACTAACAAAGCAAAACAGTAAGTTGAAAGTATTTGTACTATTCACTTCAGAAATTAGATTGTTTATTTAGTTATCATTAATGTGTGTTAAACAAGGCAAACTTAGTATATAGAGAGCAAAGGACACTGAACAAAATTGAAAAGTAAGAAGAGTCAATTTTTCTTACATGCACATCATGTGAAATACTCCCATAAAGATTTTAACTAGATTAAAAGAAAAGGAAAAAAAGAAAAGGGAAAGAAAAAAAAAGGAGAAATAAAAACGAAGAGAAAAAGAACAACATTTCAGAGTAAGTTAATTACAGCCTGGAAGGAAGTTAGAAATTACCTTCCAGGCTTTTTTATCAAATAACTGAGACTTTCTGCTATAAAGATCATTAGTATCTTCCCCCTTTAAGAATTATTTTTCTTTTACATATCCATGCAAAATATTGTGAAGGTTTCTGGTCAATTAATTGATAAAAGAAAGTGCTATGATGCTAACTGGGCTCTTGAAATTGCAGATTCATAAATCACTTCAATTACATGGCATGCAGTCTTTTATTCCACACAACATAAAATATGTACAGATCAAGAGCATTCATGATTACAGCACAAAGAACAGAACCTACAAAACCCATTACAGCAACTTCTTTGTATCAGTCTTCTGAAATTTGCTCTTAGGGAAGGGAATCACAATTTCAATCCCATTGTCCTCAGTAAATATTGTACCATTTCCTTGGCTGGGTACTAAATCTGACCTTTCAAACATGAAACTGCTCCTTGCTAATAGCAAAATGGTATTTTTTACTACAAACAGCAATGTTTAAAATACGTTCATGCTAACAACTGACCTCCATGAGATGCTGCAAAGATTTATTATGAAACAGTAAATGCAGGAAAACAGAAAAGAATTGATAAATTTTAGGGTTTCAGAACCCTGAAATGAGCATTTTTATCTTCAAGGTCATTTTTATCTACAGCCTGACATAATAATTTGTCATATCCAGCAGACCTTTCAAGTTTAAGTCCTTTTATCCATGAAGCACTAGAAATCCCAAATAAGTACAATAATGTTTCATTCTACATTTTTTGCTACATTATTCACAAAGGGCTACCTCATAGCAATACAAATAGCAGTAGACTTTAAATTACCTTTTGTTTCCATTAAAGAAAGGGCATTATTCTCAACAATACCCAACATATCTAGAAATTAGTGTGAATTTTCTTTTTCCTTAAGCAACATTGTGAAAGCTTCCCTGTTGCCCTGGTATTTTTACTGAGTAAATTCTGATAAAATTAAGCCACCTTAGAAAAGATGTGCAGCTAGTTAATAAAACACAGGAGTTTCAGTGTTAGCTACATTCACTCAACCAGTCTGTATTCACTGCAGACAGGGGAAAAAAGAAAGAAAAGGAAAACAATAAATTCAGCTACCTTTTTATATTGGTCAAATGCCATAAACTGAATAGCGCCATAGGGAAAGATCCTGATCATCATCGCCCCATTGCCTTTATACAGCCCAAGGTACCCTTCCTTTTTGGGGACAGCACACAACGTAGAAAATACTCCTGCAGCAATACAAAAAAAGGTGTTTAACACTCTGGGGAAGGAAAGCAAAAATCAAGGAAATGCTGCTGTGAAGAAAGTAAGCATATAAAGCTGAGGCTGCATGGTGCTGCTCAGGTAAAGTGGAAAATCCACTTTCACTGCCCAAACACTGCCGGAGGGGAGAGCCTAAGGTGAAGTTTGATGAGATTTCTCCTCTCCCAGACTCAGGGAAGCTCTGCAGGGAGGCCCCAGGACCTGCCTGGGCTGTGAGCAAGGCTCCTGCAGATGCCACCACCCACCCACAGCAGCCTAAGGCCACCAACACAGGGGGAAACTGCCTGACTTATAGTTCAGTCAACTCTAAACAAATAAATAAATAATGCTTTAAAGGCTAAAACCATGGCAAAATGACATTGCTACATGCTAAATTACAGATTAAATGCCATCACTGAGGAAATCAAATAAAACTGTTGAAGACTCTCATTACTTACAACTTAAACATCTCACACTCTTTATCTCAGAGTTGTTGCAACAAGAAGCAATCCTACTTTTAATCAGTGGGAAATAATGCAACATCACACAGAGTTTGGGCAAAACCTATAGTTTTACTGGAAACATTAGCTATGCACAGTTGCTATCAAATTCACTTTTTAGTTTGATTCTATAAAAGAATTAACTGTGATAATCAAACAGTTTTAATTCCTATGCAACTACTAAATAAAAACTGAAAATGAAAATGATTCTTGCTTTCAGGCAGGAAGAAGAGAGTGGCTGACAAACTTTCATTTGAAGTTTAAACAAAACAAGCATCTATTAGTTTCTGGGATTCTAAGAATATTAATAGATTAGTGCATCTTTCTACTATATCATTGTATACTTACTATAGCATTGTATATTAAGATATTATTACATATTTAGCAGCAAATTTACTCTTAAGATGTCATGCTCATTACCTGCCTCTGAACTTATTTATGCCAAGACCAGAATTTCTCTCTATGCTGCAATGATGAGTTACTGTTTCTATTTCCTAGAACAGTGAGACCCACAAGCTCCACAAGGCAAAGGTGTAAAAACACACAGGGAGGACTTGGATGAACAGAACCATGGTGTCTCTGCACTTACAGGTACCTCATCCACATAATTCTCCTTTTTTGCCTACTCGTAACATGGACACACATTCAAGTCAGACACAATTCAAATAATCAGCATCATACCTGACTCCCAAAATAGGGAAGAACATAAGATTTTACTTGCCAACTATGGCACAGTACAAAGCAAATTGAAGATTTAAAATGCTAGTCAAACCAATTATTTCACCCTTCAGTTCATTGACTTGAGTGTATACTTGTGTCTGTGTTACTAAAACACATTGCTTGTGTTTCCCTTTTTGCCACAGTGAATATATATATATCCACTGAATTTTATGATTTAGCAATGATTTATTTTTGCAACTTTTAAAAACATTATCTTTAGTGGCTAAGTTCATAACAAATTCAGTTACATGCAAAATTAGCCAAGTCAAAATATTTTTTCCCTCTGAAAATTGCAACATTTAACTTTTGGAGCAAAAGTTATGCCACATTTCAGTAACATCTGACATAAATGGCTCAAACACCCTGCACAAGAGGGCACTGTTAGAGCCCGCAGAGAACAGCTGTGCACACGTGAGCTTGCTCTCACCATGATGCAACACAGGTGCCGAGCACAGATCACCTGCACCTCCCAGCAGGCACAAACGCTCTGCTCGGTGCAATTGCCAGCAGCCAGGCCTGTCTGAGCCGCAGGGATCCCCACGGCCCTGGGAGCCCCCACAGGACAGCTCCCACTGAAATCATCCAAGCCTTGAAGCTGTCATTGCCAATCTCCCGCTGCCCTCTGTAAACAGAAGATCGAGCCTAGCTCTTACGTGCCTTATTGAGGATTGTTCTGACATCTCAATCTCTAACACATCGATTGATACCACTGCTTACACATGGCTTTGTCTGTCTTCTCAAACGGTAACAAAACATGGCACACAGCCTGACCAGACAGATACAACCTCCTGTCTGATGAGCACCTTTTTAATCAGCCTCATCACTGAGTAAATTAATACACCCAAACCGCACACACTGCATTTCAAACCTAAATTAGCAGCCATCTTACCTAGATGTTTGTAATGGTGGTTATGAGCTTGCAGCAAAATCTTTACTCGATCCAGTGGTGCAGTGGTTGTTTTGGCACAACATCCTGCAACACCTTTCCAAGGGAGAAACAGAAGAGTGACAGGATGAAAAAAATTCTTTAGATCAGCAGTTAAATAAGGGATTTTTCTAATGTAGCTAACTCAATCAGGAACTGGAAAAAGCCCCAATGACAAGCAAACAGCTTCCAGTAGATGCTACAAAGCCCCTAAGGCCTTAGTCAAACATTTAAGCTACTTTTCCTGTTTACAAAAACCCAGGCCACTGTCCGTCTCCGCTGCTAAGGTCATTGCAGGAGGAACTTTCCTGAAAGTTACTCAAGAGTTTTCCATCCTATTTCCTCCTTCCCTTTGCGGGAAACAGCCCTTGCCGGTGTTCCCAAGGAGGTGGGTACGTGTCTGCCGTGCACGCTGCGCTACTTCAGAGTGAGATCCAACAGAGTGCGGCATGATGGAAAAACTGTAAATAAACACAACCTTCCCCTACCCCCAGCAAATCAGTCACCTGAGACAACACCTCACAGAGCAAACAGGCTTTGTCTCTATAAGGTCATCAATGTGGCAGTATGTTTGCCAGGCTGTCTCGCCCCTTCACACCACCTTCATCTTGGGAACAGCAGCCTCAGCAGTGTGAGGACAGGGATAATCCGCCCTCCCCGAGCAGCCTAACGAGGGTTCGGGCTCCGGGATCATTTCATTGCGCTGGCCGGGGCTCCGAGCTGGGTCTGACACACGTGCGAGTCCCTGGCGTGCACCGCGCCAGTCCATAGGGGAAAAAGGAGAAGAGAGCTCCGTGCTTGCCCAGGGGACCAGACCCGGCGGCGGTTCCACGGGGACAGCGACAGTCCCCGCCCGGGGCACGGGCACCCACCTCCGGCGATGAAGGAGCGCAGCCAGTAGAAGTCTCGGCGCGCCGCGGCCGGGGGCAGCGCGGCTCCGGGCCCCGCCGCCGCCGGGGAAGCCATGGGGCAGGGCCGGGCCGGGCCGGCTCCCTCAGGCGGCGGCTCCCTCAGGCGGCGGCTGCCGGCGCTCGGGGCAGCGCGGAGCCCCCGCCGCGCCGCAGGGGCGGAGCTGGAGCTCGGCCGGCCCCGCCGAGCCGCGGCCGGGCCACGCCGCGGCGCCTGCGGATCGCGTCAGCCGCGCCGGGCCGCGCCGCCCCTTCAACGAGCCGGGGAAAGGCCGGGACAGCCCCGCCGGAGCCCGCCCTGAGCCTGCTCCGGGGCACCGTGCGGCGTGGAAGCCGTTTGGTAGTGCCCCGGCCTCGCCTGCTGCTCCTAAGAACAGCCACCCGCCCATTTCGCCAACAAATACGTGTATTTACACCTATGGGCGCACATAACCAAAACAGCTCTAATTAGACTGTACCGTAAAATACGTTGATTTCTTTTTAGCCATTTAAATGGCTACTTAAACTTAGGGCTAGAACATGAATATTTCTTTTGTCTACAATTCTGGTTTCATACCCAGGAAAAAATATTGAGTATAATTATTTATATGCAAGTTTCAAAATGCTCAGAAGTGGAAACATTGAAAAAAGAAAAATCAGCAGTTTTAGAATCAGAAAGGTCAAACATCATGATTCCACAGCTGTCAACATTTTGGACAATTTTTTAGATTTTCTGCAATGTCGCTATTGATTACAATGTATAAGGCTTTCCTTCATAATAATAAATACCAGGAGATATTTGACCTTTTGTCCTCAGCTCCTGAAGCAAAAACTCACAAGTGACCCTCTGAATGCTGGTGCATGGAGCAAGGAGAGGGCACACACACCTCTCTCTCTCACCTGGTGAGAGAGCTCATGCTGTCAGCTTTTCCATTATCTTTCTGCAGTTACTCACCTATTCCTTATATACTTTCTGCCCCATACATCTTGACCTTGTATTTAAAGTATTTCACATACCAATATGCCTTTTTAAAAAGTTAGTCTTCTAACACAAATAAACCAGTCAAACAGATCTCAATGCTTGCACAAGTAAAAGGAATCACTTTCCAAAAAGAATTGCCAGATTTTTGCTTCCTGCTTATGTCAGATTGCCTTCAAGAAAAATTACTCATTTTTTCCTTTAACAGATTATATTCCTTAAAATGAAGCATGTGTCAGAATCAAAAAAACTTCATTTAATTTTATTTGGTCATTGTGTCATTTATATATGTGAGAAATGGCTGTTACAATATTCATTCTTTCCCACAACTAAAAAATCATAGATTTTCAAAAATAATAGATTTCTTCTACAAACCATTAAGTAAGACCTTTACAGCAGAAAACCCTCAAGCCTTTTTACCTTTTGTACTATACCTGCAAAAATATTTTTTTTTAATTGAAATCACTCTTTGTAAGTCTCTACCAGAAAGGCAACTGCTCTGTGAGTTACTGAAGCAGGTTTTACAAGTCCCTGTTGATGCCATTTTCTCCACCCAATTTGTATTCTTTTGGGTTTCTGCTCAGGAAAAGCCTCCTCCCACCACAGCAACCATACTGTGTTAACAGCTCCAGCTGTAGGAGCCCAATTTACTGATTTCACACAGAAAGCATTGCAACTGCACCAACAGCTGAAAGTCATCACGTTTCTAGAGTTTCACCACAGACCAGAAAAATCAATGATCACAAAGATGGGCTGTCACTTCTCTTAGCTACAGGCAGGATATTTCAAGAAGATGCTTTGTCAGCCCTCATAATTTAGGGAAGGGTGCAAACTGTTTAGGGAAGCAGTAAAAAATTTGCATTGCAAAACTAAACAGAACATCTTGCATGGATATACTAACACACAAAGGAATTCAGCAATGAGCTTTATGTGCCTAGCTTTGTTGGGGTTTTTTTTAATACTTACTGGAATAAAGTGCTTTCAAGGTCTGTTTTCTTTATTAGAGACTGTAGTAGTTCGTTTGCACCTTTAAATCTTAACATTCTCCCCATTGTCACTTCATCTTTTTACCTCAAAATGCTTACACCTTTTACAAAATTTCTCTGGTGGCATCTCTTTTATGATGCATTCTTAAAAGTCATTAGAAATTTTAATGTTCTTTGGGTTACACTCATGTGTGACACTATGGCATCCTCCCCCAGTAAATCAATCAGTAGGGGAAGACATTGAAATTACAATACTCAGGAGCAGAGCTACAAATTTTTAAAAAGTCAAGCAGGTAGGTAGTTTTATCAATTGTAATCTGTTTCTGATTTTTCTGTTGCTAAACATACTTGGTTTTCTAAACACATTTTGAATATATATCAATTAAAATAGACTATTAAGGTTCTACTTAGGTAAGCTGTCCTTGTACTAGTGGTTGCCAAAAAGATTATTTTCAGTGCTCTCAAATGCTGGTGTACACCAAGCCCTATTTTGAGATAGCTGTACAAGTTACCATCAGGTGTCATACCTCTGTAAGCTTTTTTAGGCTTTACTAATTAGTGATCTGATGTAATAACTATCTAGTTGCCTGTTCCCTTGCCCCACACCATATCTACAGACATCAGATAACTTTCCCCACATGATAATCATTCTTCTCCTACCACAAAAATCACAGCTTGCAGGTTACAGCCCTAGCAAACCTCAGTTCCTCGGGACTGTGCTGTCCTGAACTCTCTTCAAGTCTGCCAGCAAGCAGCTGAAGTGCTTCTTCCTGAGGGGAGGTGAGCAAGGAGCCAAAGAGGAGCACAGCACAGCAGGTGCAGCAGGACTCACTGACAGCACAGTCCTGCAGGACAGACAGAGCTGGGAGGTGAGCAAGGAGCCAAACAGGAGCACAGCACTGCAGGAGCAGCAGGACTCACTGACAGCACAGTCCTGCAGGACAGACAGAGCTGGGAGGTGAGCAAGGAGCCAAACAGGAGCACAGCACTGCAGGAGCAGCAGGACTCACTGACAGGGCACAGTCCTGCAGGACAGACAGAGCTGGGGCTGGGAACAGCCTCAGCCAAGGGACAGCACAGGGCAGCTCCATGGCACAGCCATAGGGACAAGAACAGAAGATAAAGCCCAAAGCTAAGCTAGAGGCAAGCCTGAGGGTCACCTAGAAATCAAACCCAGACAACAAACAAACCCAGAACCAACACACAAAACAAACACACCTACACCAGAGCTTAGACAAGAAGCAATTACCTGGCCAGGCCTGAGCTTAGAGGGAGTTCAGGACCCATGAATCAGGTGTGTGGGTGGGGGCCCCAGGTGAGGCTGCTCAGGGCCAGGAAGCCTTGTTGACAGCCTCAGGACCCTGACAAGCCCAGTCAGTGAAGTCTTTAATGAACAGAAATATCTGACTGATCAGTTACCGAGTCTGCAAATGCAGTTGTGCCAAATTTCTCTGGCTAAGCAGGTGCCTTCCTTTCTTTCAGGAGCCAGGAGGAGGTGCGCCATGTGTGACCCCTGTACCACATGGCTTACTGCAAACGTGCAGCACACGTGAAGCATCCAAACCTCTTAGGTCTGTGCATGCACAACTCACCATGTCTTGCCAGATGTGTTTGCCAGCAAGGTACTGCACAATCATTCCGCTGTCATGCTTTTTATCACTCATGCACAATCATGCACTGAAGCAAGGGCCAAGATTTCCAATGGAAATAGAAACTGGCAGCAAACTGCTGGCCACTGCAGGACAGGAACATCTGTCAGGAAATATTTAGAATAAATGCAGTGGGCCTGTATCATGGGTATGAAAAGATGAAATCATAGTCCCTTCTGGCCTTATTTCAGTGTTAAATGGTGTTAACACTTAAAGTATCTGTGTTCTGTGTGCCTACAAATGTTAACCTGCTTTCAGTGCCAACCAGGCAGGTAGATACTATCTACAGAACCAGGGCCAAGAAAGACTAAATGAGGAAGTGGTTGTCAAAACCACAATTAGAATTCAAGAGTTTCTGCACTAAACTCATGTTGTTTGAGACTCCACTCTTTCAGACAGTGCCAACTAACAATGCTGTGGGTGCCTTATCTGATCATCTGTATTACAGATCCAAAGGCATTGACAGTTTTTGGCCTGTGTTCACCTGCATTCACAGGCACAGCACCCCATGCCAGTGTGGCACAGCTGGTCACATCTGGGCTGGGAGCAGGCTGGGCACTTTGTCATGCTGGACTCCAAGCTAATGAATGTGAGGCAGGCTTTGATAGAAGTGGAAGCTGTAATCTGTGTTTTGTAATCTCACAAGCAAACAGCCTAATGTTTCAGTATCACCTTTCCACTACAAGGGAAGCAGGGCTAGCTAAGATAGGCCTGGTTAGATCAAATCTGTCCCTTAAAAAGCAGTTTAGGTGTCTTTGCAGTGTAATTCTCAGAGCTTTTGTGTTGTGAAGAGCTGAAGTTCAGCATCAATCTAACCTTTCTTAGCTTGGACTGATCCTTTGCAGAGGTCTGATGCAGATGACTGCAGGACTAATTCAGGCATACCTGGATAGTTCTGCTTCCAGGGTCAAGGCCCTGAGGGCACTAAGAGGTCTTAATGGACCTGACCAGCTGCATCTGAAGTCTCCACCCACATCCTTTGCCCATTAGCCCGGGAGCTCCATTTAACTCTACCCTGGCTGAGGAATCAGTTTTGTTTATTTAGAGCCTCAGTTTGGGCTTGGCCCCTTTTAGACTGTATGGACTCTGTTCAGTATTCATTTGGGTTGTGTGTATTTTTCCTTACTCTGTGGGTCTCCAGACCAGTAGCTTGGGTCCTTGGTCAAACTTCAGCCCTACCTCATCTTCTGGAAGCTGTTTTGTTACCTGGCCTTGTGCCTGCATGCAGATGGTGTCCCTGGGCCTGTTCTGTTTACCCTGTGTGTGTACAATGGGGCTGGCTGGTGAGGTCCTTGTCCTGCTGGCTGTTGTGTGGGGCTCCCTGTCTCTCAGTGAGCAGCTGCTCCTCACAGCTCCCTCATGTTTACCACAGATTGAATTTTGCCAGAGCTGCCTGCAGTGCAGAGCTATTTACAGGTTTGTGGACTTTATTGCCTCATACCACACTGTTGGACTGACTTCATTC